TACTAAAGAGATGACTACAAAAACATTTGCTTATAGAACATATTCTGGCGCATTCAGATTTTTATTCTGTACAATAATAAGTAATGTTATTATTGTATAATTTATTTCATAAATTCGAGTATTAAATGATTCTAAAGCATGTTGATATTCTTAATCTATATATTTTCTTGCACCAACAGCTGGTTCAAATTTTTGTACACCTTCACGCACTCGTTATTCATTCATTGCGATATAATTGAACATTAATAATTTTTTGATTAATATATAACATCATTTTCATTTGGCCCATTCAAATTCAGATGGTCCCAATGGATGTTTAGATCCATATTGAATCATTATCTGTTTAAGGGGATCTAGGTTATTGACTATTTTGGTTCCAAGTTATCTCAAAGGGGAAATGGTCTTATTTTCATAAGTGTTCTTTATCAATTCCATTGCTATAGATGTAGTATAATTCATAAGTTTGGCTTAAGATTCATATTCTTATAGAGATTGTTCTAACCCAATATCATTTCCAGACCTTGAATTCTTAATTATGCAATTAGCCAATAGAGCTGCATCATTAATACCCATATTCATTCCCTAGCCTGCCATAGGATGATTAGAATGTGCTGCATCTCCAATTAAAGCTATTCTTTTTTAAATATATCTTTAAGCTTGCAAAGACTGTAACGGAAATGCCATCCTTTTGTTGATAATATTCTTAATCCTTGGAGCATATCTTCCTAATTAACTATTGAGAGCCTTCAGAAATTCTTCATCTGAAAGTGACATCAAATATTTATAATCATCCATATATACTGTCCACACTATTGAACTATAGGGATTATAAAGAGGCAATAAAGCTAATGGACAACTAAATTTTATATCTTATATTTTACCCATTTGATAAATAAGTCTAATATGCTACTTCATTGTCTTCATCACCTCTTTCTACTGTACAAACTATTCCCATTTGATGATATGAGTGACCATATGTACCTATTTTACTACATTCTTTCACTTTTGATTTATTTCCATCGCTACCTATCAACAATTTACATTAAAATTTATCATTCACTTTCACATACTCATTTTCTACTACCTCAATCTTTTCTAATTTACTCTCAAATTCTATCTCCCCATCATAAACTTCTAATAATCCATTCACTATGTTATCATATTCAATTATATGAGCAGATTGGTTCTTGAATTCTAAGTAATCCTAACCCTAGCTCTCATCTATAATCATTCTCTTATAATGATTTATTCTTCCCTAATCTAATTTATCCCAAGCCCCTACTGATTATAATACTTCTCTTGATGACTATGTTACTGATAATACTCTTTAATTTGGTGCTCCTTCTTTCTTAAACAAAGGTCTTTTTATTGAGTCCAATACTATCACTTTATTTAATTGTTTTGATTTCTATAATGCAGCTCCCAAACACAATCCTACTGGACCTGCTCCAATTATGCAAACATCATAAATTTACATTTATTTATACTATATTATTTTATTAATTTCTAATTAGTATAATCATTCACTAATAAATCAATTCAAAGCTGTACTATTATAGCCATATTCAATTCAACTTATTTTTCATTCCTTCTCTTCTTATCCAATCATTTTTTTCTACCTTCACTATTCATCATATTTATAATTTGGTGAGCTAACTTTAAAATCATATAAAATTGATCGCTTCTTATTAAAGACTAAATTATTAATTGTATACTTTTTTTTCTAATTCTTTTTATTAAGCAAATTAACTTTTGATTTTTAATTCTTCAAAAATTTGTTTATAGCATTTATCCTATTGATTTAAATTTAATTTAATGATTATGTTTTAACTCTATATAACTTAAATTATGAAATAACTTTACATAATTTAAATTTAAAGTTTAATTTCAATTTTCATATATCTCTAACACTCTAAAAAATGATTCTTTCCTTTTTTATTTAAAGTTGTTACTGAGTTTTTAATCCTTTTACCTCCCCCTCATTAATTTGAGTCTAAATAATTTTGGAAAATACTATGCTTAAAAATTATTCCTGCTTTAAGCTTAACTTTATAAATATTTAATTACCTATGTTTATTTACATTTCCTATAAATAATAAATTACAATCTTGAAAAAAAAAATTTCTATGATGTATCTTAAAACTCAAATATTTAATATGTTTTCTGAATAATCTTAGCTATTCTATAATAGTTAATTTTATTTCATTAAATGCTGATTTAAAGCTTCATTTAAAAGAAAAGCTAAAGCACAGAATTAAAAATTAGATTCAGAAAGTTTACGATATTGGTTTATCAGAGAGTATTTTAATCTGAAAATTATTAATTTATAATTTTTAAAGTTTTTGATTTATATATAATATGAATTATACACATTTTTTTACTAAATCAATCTGAATCTTTTTCATCCTCTTGTTGAACGTCCCTTTACATAAATTTTGAAACCCATTATTCTGCTTACTCTTTAACCTTTTAGATTGTTGCACTGTCTCCATATTGGTTTTCATATTCTAATTGTTTTTTAAATAAAAATTTAATCTTTCTTGGTTTCTTATTATTATGAATTGCTTTTTAAAATATTGATCGAACCACATCCGGTTGGCAATTTTTAATCACTAAGTCTAAATATTATGACCAAATGTCAGTTCTAATGATATTTTAAACTTCTTTACCTAGTTGAATTTTTTTGTAATATAGTTTCAAATGTAGTTTTTCCTTCTTCAATTTAATTATTCTAAAATTGCAATCGGGCATAAAAAGATAAGAGTTTAACTTGTTTTGTTTTCTTTAAACTTTACATAGCTCTATTTAATGTATCTTTAAATGAATATTAAGGGTTTTCATCATCATGTAGTTTCTACCATTCCATTAAACTTTACAGAAATTCCATCCAACTCTTGCAACTTTGTTTATACTTTAAGACAAATGACTTTAATAATATGAATGAAAGTATACTCTTGATAATTCAACCGTTAAATCAACTTTTTCAGCTTTTCTATAAATATTGATCAATTTTATATGAAGTTTCTTTCCATCACAATTTTAACAACCTCTCTTAAAGACATTAATTAAATTATCTTCAGAACCAAAATTGAATTCTAAATTTAAATAAGCTGTCCATAAATTCAATCTTTCTAATTCATTACTGAAATTGATAACTCTTAATGCTCTTTCAATAACATTTCTAGCACTTTCTATTCCTTCATTTTCAGCAGCATATGCAACAAATTCAATCCAAATAACAGAAGAATTTGGATTTGTTAATATTTTCCTAAATTAAATAAAATGAAGATTACTTTTCATATTCTGCCCTTGACTCTAAATTTTAAACTTCTTCTCTAATATCTTGTTCATCATTTTCTTCTTCAATTTCCTAATTGTTTTATTGTTCTTCCTCTTCAACATCATCCTAATCTTATTCATTATCTTCATCATCATTTACTTCTTATTATATTTCCTCTTCAATTTATTTATCTTAATTTTATTGTTCTACAATTACATTGTTTTTTATTTAATGTTATTTAATCATTTCTTCAAAACTCTCATGTAAATCAATCACTTCCTGTTAAATATCTCCTAATTCAATTTTTCTCTTTCCTTCAGTATTAATTAATTCTTAAATATTGCTTAATCTTAGAACTGTCTAATTATTTTTATTCTATCTTTATCCAATTACTAAACATTCTATTTATTATCCAATCTTAAATAATTTATTAGCCCACCAACCATCTTCTCCTTCCAATCCTTCAGCATCCTTTTTATCCAATTCTCCTTATTAAAGAGTTCCTAAAATTTTCACTGTCGCCTTCTCATTTCTTATATTCACTATCAAACCCTATACTACATCGCCAATTCTTAATTATTTATCATCTAATTTATATTTAAGTAAATTTAAATCTACTGTTCCCTATAACTTATTTAATTGAGTAATCATTAATACTATTGGTCTATACTTAATGTCGGTTTTAAATCCTCTTATTAAACAAGTTGTTTCATAGTTTAACTTAACAAAAGTACCATTATATGTACTTCCAGTAACATATCCCAAAGCTACCTAACCCACTATCAATGGAGTCTTTTTGAATAATGATGTTCTGACATCATATTTTAGAGACAATATCATTTTTTAATAAGAAATCGTATTACTCTTTACTGGATGGAGACATTTATTCCATAATTTATCATTCAAAAATGTTTCTCTGGCACTAGCCCAATAAGCTTTATCTTTTGCTATTATTCTACACACTCCCCATTTTCCTACTGGAAATTATTCAAATAAATTTAATTCCCATAATTCTGATAATTCTGTAATGTCAATTGATGCAAATTATCTATTCCTTAACTACACTCTTATATATGAATCATGATGACTTAGAATTCTATAAATTTATTTTGTATATAAGATTTCACCTGTGTTCTATTACTATTGTTAATCATTTTCATTTATTATAATTCCTTTTAACTACTTGTCAAATTCATATAATCTCACTCTAACTGGTTATCCTTATTATATCTTTTATTCTAAATTATTTAAAATATCAGCCTATTCTACATCTATATCCCAACCATCAATGAAAACATTGTAATTGTAATAAATCTATACAACTAAAGGTGATTTTGCATCACTTTTTATGTGTTTTATTATACCATAAACAATTTTATTGCTATCTTTCTAAACATCTTTCTCTAATTCTATATGATCTGACAAACAAGTCAAATCAAAGATTTATTTGTTATTTTCTTTATTTTCTCCAATTATTGAAGCTGATAATTGTGAACCTACATTCAAATTCTCGAATTCACTTTATAATTTAAATAATCTATCTTCATTCTTATAACACTCAAAGAATGCCTTATGAATTCTTCCAAATTTTCCATCAGGAAGATTAACATAAACAACATTGTTCTTAATTGCACTCACAACACACTACACTTTTTCACCTAAATTTAATTTGGTTTTAACATTTTTTTTTATTTAAACATTTTATGGCTAACTTTCATTAACTTATTTTTATTTTGGATCTATTTTTTTTAATGAAAGTAACAATTTGTTTTCAGTTTAATTTACAAATTTAACATAGACTTTAATGATTTGACCAATTTTAATATCGTCAGGATTTTATCCATCAAGACTTTAATTGGACAGAAATCCTACAATATTCTAAAAGAATTTAACTAGAATCCCATTTTCTAATTTTTTAATAGTAAATCCATATAAAGTATCACCAGCAATAAGGTCGTCTAATGACTAAAAGACTTTAATATCAGTAAGTAAAGTAGGCTTCATAGTTACAATAATATTGTTATGTTATTCATCAATTTATAATATTCTGACTCTTATTTTGCTGCCAACTCTAAATTTAGGTGGATTAGTAAGAGGATAATCTGACATTTGGATTGATGGTAAAATAGCATTAAATTTTTCATTTATTTTCAACAAAACACTATACGAATCCTCTTTAAGTAGCACTTATTTAACAGTTCCTTTAACAATAGCTCCAATATTTAAATCACTTAATTTTGGTTGAGAATTCACCTCAAAAGATACGAAACCAACATGATCAAAATAATTGATTTCTTTAATTATGCAAATTCTTTAGATATGATCAATAATTTCTTAATCAGATGGAATCTAAGTTTTATGTAATATACAAATTGGTCCAAGATTAGGTAATTAAGCTTTTTGAGCTTTTTTACTTTTTTTAGTTTATACTTAATCATCATTTAAAATAGTATTAACGAGATAAGCACCAGAATATAATTGTTGATTTATTACAATACCCTAATATTGCTAACCAACCTCATAAGGAGGAATATAAATTGAATTTTCAATATGCTCTTGTTTACTAGAGAGGTAAATTTATCTTGAAGGTTCATCAAATCCAATTATTCTACATAATAAATTTTTATCTTGCTCAACCTAATAATCTTGGAATATATATCCTAAAACTCCAAATTTGTTTAACTTAACAATTTGGCCGCCTGTAATGGATTTTGCATTATTACATTTCCAAATATTTCCAGGAGTAAGTAAATGTTTAGATATTTATTTTTTATTTTACAATTAGACATCTCTTTATTCAAAATCACAAATTGCAATTTTTTCTTTTTAATTGATTTCTTTTATATTAAAAAGATAAACTCTTCCACATTTAAGTTTTTTCTCATTAATAAATCCACTAAACTATTAAGATCCAAAATTAATAGTAGTTCCAAATTCATTCCAAGTTTAGGCTATTCCTGGTATTTACATTCCAATTACTAATTAATTGACATTTAATTAATCATTAATAACATTAGGATGCAAACTCAATTAAACTTTATTATTTTTTTGCTCTTCTATAACTTTAGCAATAACATATTCTCCTACTTTGTAATCACCTCCATTAACATTCTTTCGATCTCTAAGATTGTGTTAATCTACGAATCCTTTCTTGTTTCTAGTAAAATTGATTATTAAATAGGCTCCATTAGGACCAATAGATGACACACATCCTAAATGTAAGGATCCTATATCAAAAATCTATTTAATAAGAAAAATTAATCATACTTGCTCGGGTATTTTTTATGTCATATTAAGTATTTTTTAACTTTTCATTTAAAAATAGCCTAATATATCTTGATCTAGATCTCCTAATGCACCATAATCATCTTGATCTAAAATAGGCTAATTATTTTAAGGGCCATCATCATCACTAGATATATACTCAGCCAATTAAGCTCTTCTTTAGAGTTGTTTTTTTTCTCTTTGTTTTTTCTTCTTTAACTTGTCTTCAGTTCCCTTTTCATTTTTATATGTAGGAGCTGGGTTAAACATGTATTTATCATCTTTCAGTGCATCAATCACTTTTTTTTTCATTAATTAAATTTTTAATAAAATGTAAACTGTTTAAGATAATTCATCGACAATAATTGCACCTGTCATTAATGAAACCCAACTCACAATAGATATGGATGAGAGATAATCAAAGTAATTTTTTATCTAAATCATACTTTAGAGCACTTATTCCAGTCAATTATCATGCTAATATGAAAAGAACACCAATTGCAGTCGTATGTCCTGAATGTAAACAACAAGGAACAACTATTATCATACGTGAAGTTGGTGCAGCTACTATAATGGTTGGTTATTTACTCTTTTTATTAACAACGTATGGTTCATTATCTATAATATAGAATATTTTGTTTTTGGATCCCTTGTTGTGTAGATGAATGCCAAGATGCTATTCATTAATGTCCACACTGTAAGGCTGAAGTAGGGATAGGTCCCTATTAAATTCTTTGACATATTATTTAGTTAAAAGTGAAAAATCTCTATGATCGAAATTTTCATTTCTTAAAATAAAAATAATAAGATTATATATGCTCTCTCCAGAAAAGGATTTCATTCTCTATAATACCTAAAAACCTCCAAACATGTAAGTTCCAAGTTTTATGACTACTGCTTCATCATTCAGAAATCAAAAGTTATCTAGCTTAAGGAACAAAAGTTGTGCCACTGCAGTCCCAGATGTAGTATTTCCAATATATAAATAGAAGAAATAAATATCTACCATAGATTATTAAATTTGTGATAAAAGTGAACCTATCAATCTTAAGAATGCTTGTTATCCTAAATTCAAATCAGAATAAAGTGAAATATCTCAAATTGCCAAATCATAAATTAGTATGATCATTACAGCACCAAAAATAATATAATTCATTGATTTCTGCAATAAAAAAATCTTAGATGATGAACTCAAAAAAAGGAAAATAAGTTAAGACCAAACTCATAAAGACTTCAAGAAAAAGATTAATAATTATCATGATAATAAGAAGTCTATAAGATTTGTTTAAAAACATACACGCAGCAATTTCACACTTCCTTAAATGAACTTTCATGAAAAATCAGAAACTTAAACCATCTCAGACAAAATCAATCAAAATAAGATAGATACAACATCATTTAATGATTCTCCAGCACCAAAATTAATATAAAAGTAACCTAATTTTTAAGCTTACACAACTAAATAACCTATTAGAAGTTTTGATATGTTATTTAATGTAAAACATCTAGTGAGATTATAAGAAAAAAGATAAAAAGAATTTGAAGAAACTCAATAAAATGATCCAGAATTTTAATTAGAAATGATAAAGAGATAAAATTAAATTTAAGTTTTAATGTCGAATACGAAGAAACTTGAATAACTAAAAAAAGCATCAAAAGGAGTAATAAATATTTTTAACACCTATAGATTCTATCTCACATAAACGAATAAGATCATTAAGCTGAATAAATATTTTAGGATTTCAAATATAAATTGGATCTAAAATGATACTATTACGATTTTGTTATGTTTATTTTTTATTGATTCTTTAAATATTATTTTAATAAGTTTTATGAAACTAAAAAATATAGAATAGCCATTCAAAACAAAGTAATTCTTAGATGACTGTATGAATGCAAGTGTTAAATCGATAAATGTGTAAAAATAATTCATGCTAGAAGTTCATCAATTATGTGTAATATTTTAAGATTTATTTTAAAGAAAAAATTCAGCGAAGATTTACAACACTTATATGTATTTATATTTCTTAGACATTTAGAAATTACTAAGTGTGTAAGTTGATGATGAAGAAACATTATCCTAAAATACTGTCTTATCTAATTATATATTGTCCATTAGTCATATCATTAAATCAAGATCAGAGATTTTATTTGAGGAAGCCATAGAACCTTTTTATCAGTTTGAAGCCAATTATAATCATTTAAATAACTCCATTTCCAAAAATTATGGGATGTTATTAGATAATTTGAAAACATCTCATGAATTATTAAAACACAAAGCATCAGAGTATGAATAAATTTATATTATAATTAGTTATTATGAAGATTAAAATCAAATCCTATAAGCATAAAATGAACAACAATATAAATTATCTCTTAATTAAATGAACTCTATGTGGGAATCATTTTTCAAAGAATTACCATAATATTATGAATAATATTAATTAAATGAAGAAACTAGATTGACAGTAACAGAACAAACATTTGTTAAATTTATTGAAGCTTTAGAATATATGTTCAAATAACCAGCTAAAATAACTAATGAAAAATTACGTTAATCTTTTGATATATAAAGAGAAAAATTTTAAACTAGAGATTTATATGGAGAATTATGTATACAATCAAAAAAAATGATTGATTTTATGAATGAACCAAAATGTGAAATGTTTACAAGCAGAGATGAATATTTTAGAAATAAAGCAGCCTTACTTTTATAAGAATCCGATTCATCTAAAAATTAAAATTTTAAAGATGAAGATTTCAGAATCATAAAATAATTATTTGAAAAACCTTAGTAAGTTCAATATTTTATTTCATAGATAAAATCTCTAATTGTTATATAAAATTAAGTTAATTCCTAATCTTACCAACAAAGAAAGAGAAGAAATTATATCATTTATACTTGCAGAATTGAAATAAAAAAGTTTAATCCAATTACAATCACATTTTTAAGCTAATTTTTTTCGCATTCTAGTTTTTAAATTATTTAAATGGTTTGAAGATGACTTTTAGACTTAAAAAATAAATTCAAAGCTCATTTAACAATTCCTTTAAATTATTCAAATAAGTTTATCCTTAAAAAATGAAAAAGGATTTTCACTCCTTAGTACAATTAGTAAAAAAGTAGAATTCTTTTATTCATAAAGATTATGGAATTCTGTATATGAAGAATTATTAACAAATTATATTTTACAAAAGCAAATGATTGATATAACTTTAAAGTATGTATCATTTCTTCAGACTCCAAACTCTAAATTACAATTACCAAAAGAAATAGATTAAAAATAAGATTCAATATTTAATGGTTTATTTTCAACAAAAACAAGAAAAATAACTCAGAATGAATCAATTAATATAGTAAATCTAATCCTTATTGCATCTAATTTACCTCCATAAACAACATCATCCATTATTATGGAAATAGTTAGAACAATTTAAATGAAACCATCAAGTTCTATACCATTTATTGAATTATAAGAAGCTAATTAAATGCTCAAAGAATTTTAACCATAATTTAGATAAAAATAATTATCCTCAAAAATTGGTAAAAGGAAGAATACTATTTATTGTTTATTGAAATCGCTTAAATATTTATAATTCAAAGAAAACTATTTAAATGTCATTTGTATTTCAAAAGAACTTTCAAAAATTATCAAAACAAAAATGATTCAATATTTTTTGATTTCAGAAGAAACAACAACTTTAAATTTACATCAAAGAGTGAGATTTTGGAGTGAACTCTTAGATATAGATGTGAATTATAAGAAAATTTAATAAGATTATTTATCTGCTAGCAAAAAATTATCAAGGGAAATTGAAAGAAGTATTGTTGTTGACATTAAAAGATCATTCTCCACTGATTGTGAAGATAGAGATTAAATAGTCAATTAATATGAAAATAAATTAGAAAATTTATTAAGATTACATGCCTTTGATTATCCAGAAATATCATATTATTAAGGAATGAATATGCTTATGGTATTTTTCTTATATGTTACAAACTTAAATGAAGAATTGTCTTTCAGATTATTTAGATCTTTATTAGAAAAACTATTAAGAGACATCTTCTTAGAAGGTTTAAAATCTATGAGAATGCACTTTTATATTTTAGACAGACTAATTGCAATCTTTTTACCAAGATTGTTTATTCATTGGAAATAATTATAAATTGAGAGTCCTCAATTTGCTACAGTATTTTTATTATTTAATTAGGCATGGTATGTTACTTTATACACTAATTCTATTAACTTAAGTCAGATAGACAATAATTAAGTTTGTTTTGATATTTTTGAATTAGTTGTTGCAAGAGGGTGGACAGGTTTTTATTAATCAACTATTGGTTTATTAAAATTCTACGAAAAGATTCTCATAGAATTAGACTTTGACCAAAGTTAGAAATTTTTAAATAATCTATCTAAAACCCAATTTTATAAATAAAAAAGTGAGTAATAAATTGAAGTACCATTTTTTTCAAATGTGAAAAATATGAAAGTATCTATTAAGAAACAGTTAATTACTGAACTTGAAAGAGAGTATTATTAACTTAGAGAAAAAATAGATTAAATTAATTTAAACAATTTGTGATGGAGAAATAAAAAATATTATTAAATAAATTATCATTTAAAGGTTTTACTTATTTCAAAAATTTTTGTGCAATATGGCTCTTTTTATTTATCTTTTGTCATAATATTTTAGAGTTATTATTAATTAAATTTTTCAATTTATTTTAACTTTCTTGTCCTTAGAATCAATAAAAAGGTGAACCTACTAATTTCAACTAAATATTTTGCAAAGACTTCTTATTCTAATATGGATTTCCAATTAGTTAAATGAGATAGAAAGTTTTTTATAAATTATTTGATCATTTCATTCTCTTTAAAATCAGTTACTGATGATAAATAATTCAGCCAAATCAAATTTTTAATTTCTCCAACTATTTAAACGTGTATGTTTTTTGCAAATTCTTCATTTATATTATATATTTTTTTAAATATCTCCAAATAGTCATATACTTTTTTAAATTCTATTAAACCCTCTAATTCCTAAAAACTATTCGGATTATCTCTTTTAATTGATTCAATAGATATTTTATTTATAATAAAGCGGATAGTTATTATTTAATACTTTTCCTCAAATCTAAAATTATCATTTTAACATTCATTTAATACTTAGTTATATAATTCATAAATTTCTAAAATATCATGATATTTATGATTCTTCATAAGAAATTCTTAGTATGATTATTGATCATCGTATTCTTAAAATTGTTAAGAAAATGACTGAAAATATTTAAATTTCTTCTCATCACTATATTTTTCAACAAGATTTTCTACAAGTTTCTAAAATATAGTCGAAATTGTGTAATATTTTAAAGTTTTAATATCCTAATATTTACTCTAAATATATTCAAGCTTTTATAGATTTAACCATTATAATTCTTTAGGAATCATATATTCTATAATTCCTTATAGAATTTTTTTTTATGTTAACTTTAATAAGAAATAATTATTTTTTTCTAAATAATCTTCCATAAATTATGTGATGTTTTCATAAATTTAATCTACACATTCGAACTTTAATTTATCAAAAAAATTTTATAACTAATCTTCATCTAGTTTATCATAGATTTTTTGTTTTACATTTTGGCAAACATAATAGTCAAAAATTTCTTGTATAGATACTTGCTCCATTTAAAATAAACAGAATAAGTTTAAAAGCTTAAACTTAGATTTCTCAAAATCTAACATAGAAATTGATTTGCAAAATAATGGGCTATTAATAAAAATTTACTAGCATGTTTAAAATGCAAGTTATAGAATTTCTTTTCCCCATGATTGAATTCCTTCTTTCTCTATTATATAATGAATACTAGCTTAAATTAATAACAAATATGTGTCTTCTTTATAAGAATCCAATTTTTCGTGTACCAAGTAAGAAATTTTTCTTTTAAAAAGTTCACAATTCAATAATTGATCATTCTCTTCATCTTTTGACAACAAAGGCAAAATGCAATTTGCCGATTGGTTTTTTTTTTAAACATTTTTCAAATCTAATGCACTTAAATCTATTATTTTTAAGACTTTAGAAAAATCTGTCACTTTTATTTTAGTTTCAGAGTTTTTTTTAGTTTTAGTAATTGTAATCCCAAACCCTACTAAAGGGAATATTTCAATCAATTCATAGTCATATTTACATTATTAAAACTTCTATCGGAAATCTGGATCTTTTAGCATCTCAACCATATTATAGAGATTGATCTAAGATGCTTCTTATTAGGAATCATTAAGTTGTATTTGTAAAAATTATTATTTCATATTTATATTTATTTATTTTAAGAACCAAAATTGTTTGTTTTTTATGATAAAGAATGAAGCTAATCTTCATTTATTGATAAAATATTAGATTTAATATATTATTTTAATTATTTGATTGGAGAATATAGAATAGGACCTTTAAATTTTTTAAATAAAAAATTAATAGATATATGATAAATTTAAAATCTGAGTAATATAAGATTCAAACTTTATGTTTAGAATAATAGTCAAATTTTTGTTATAGGCCATTTTATATTAGATAACTTCTTCTTATTAATATACAATATTTTAAATCACTGCACTTTAAATTTTGAACTTCTTTTAACTTTTCTTCCGGATGAAGATTCTTCTTCTTCGTTAAATTCACTTTGATTTGATTAATCATTTTAGACTGTCTTAACTTCTTTCTATTTCTAATTTTATTTTTTTTCCCCTTAAAAATTATCCTCTTTCTCCCTCAAATATTGTTCTCTTTATTAAACAAATGAATTGAAATCCTACTCCTCTTAAACTTTATCTATTTTCATTTTTCTTTAAAATCTATCCTTCTCTACACGAAATTCACTTTAACTTTCATTTTCATCAAAATTCATTTTAAAATTATCTCTTTTACCTGAATGATTTGTTGGTGTTTGATTGCTTTCTTCATCAAAATTCATTTTTTCTCTATCAAATCTATCTCCTTTATAGCTTCTTTTATTTTTATCCTTCCTATCAAATTAGTCTCTTCTTTCGCTTCTATCATAACTTTGTCTTTGATCTTCAGATCTATCGAAACTTCTTTTCTATCTATATTAATCATTATTATCTTCTCTATCATATTTTTATGGTCTTTCTTTTCTGTTATATCTATCATTGCTATCTTATCTTTCATATTTATCATTTCTTTATTCATATTTATCATATTTATGTGCATATTTATCATTTTTTCCATAATCATTATATTTATTTGAATCAAATTATCTATCTTACCTTTAGTGATTATCATATTTGTCAAATCTATCTTTTCTATTGAACTATTCAGATCTATCAGATCTATCAGATCTATCAGATCTATCAGATCTATCAGATCTATCAGATCTATCAAATCTATCGGATCTATCAAATTTATTATTATATTTATCTCCTTTATCATATTTATTATATTTTTCATATCTATTTTCAGAATTTTCATAATGATTTTATTTTTTATATTGATACTTTTTATCATTATCAGATTCTTGATTTTCAAATTTTCTGGCTTCTTTTTTTGAAGGATAATTTTAATCATCTAAGAAATCAGCCTTCTTAGTATATTTATCTTTTTTTATGTTTGAATCTTATTAATGAATAGACTCATTTTCTGAAACTTAAGCTATATCACTTAAAAATTATTCATTAAGTTTATTTTGATTGAGTTAAAAATCAATTAAAATTGAATGAAATGTATCTAAAACTCTTGTACTAGACAACCAAAAACTTTTTTAATCATTTTAACTAAAACATAATAAATATTAATTTACATGTTCATTTAATGAGTACTTATAGTTTCTAAAAATTAAGAAAGATGTGGCAAAAGCAATGTTTGCATATTACCTGCATCTGATTAAATAAATGCTTTCTAACATTTTGCATGGTGTGGACATTATGGGCAAACAAAGTCTTCTCTAACTCCAATCTATGCTCTCAAATCTTTAAAAATTTCTATGTCTTTTTCTTTGGTTGGTGAATCTACAGGACAAGGTGTAGTAACAATTTTGTTAATATCTCTTTTATGGAATCTCCAATAAAAGTTTCCTTTTGGCAAATCTTTGAAAGTATGTGAAATGGATTGCAAATACACCTTAAATAGTTATTAAGACATAAATTAAAATAATGTTTTAAATTTTTATATTTTAATATATATCTCAATGGCTATCGTGATGGATATTGACAATGTAAAATGCAGTTTCTATGCTGGAAACAAGGAAAGCTCTATCCTTGATTTCAATACCAAACTCTTTTTCTAGAGCATCATGAATATGAATGCAAGTAGCAACATCAACATATCCTGCAGCATCATTCCAATTAGTATTAAATGTTATTGGTGTTGATTCCCACTAAAAAAATTATTGTATCAATTTTTACTCTTTCTGGATCAATTTTTCTTAATCTTTCACCAACAACCTTAATGATTCTCTTAGCTGTTACAGCTGGCTAAAGCATATAAAATATAATACATTATTATAGACCGAACCATTAGGGAAGTGATAAGCATAAAGAGGAGCTTATGATTACATACTCTTCACAACAGTAGATATTAATTTATTCATATTTTAATTATTATTATATTTGATTAATATACTCATTGTTTCTTTGCTTATTATTTTTTTGGTTATGGTTTTTTGGTTTACTCTTTTGGTTGTTCTTTGGTTTATTCCTTCTATTCTTTAGGTTATTACTTTTTTTAATCTTTTTTCTCATCTTTTACTTCAACTTCAGCATCTTCTTTTAATTTCTTGATTCTCAACATACCTTATTTTGCAGATAATCCAGCAGGAGTACTATTTTATTAAATAAACTATTACTTCACTTCCCAAGCACCTCCAGCAATCTATAATCCTGTTTATGTGCATCTCCATATACCTATTGCTTATCTCTTAAGTGAATGCTAAAATATTATAATATAAATTACAGCTCCAGTAAATGTGTTGAAATATCTTTAATGTTATGAAATTTCAAACTTCTTTATTATTTTTCTTAAAGATGCACCATATCTGGTACCATATTTACCTGTTATTCCAACCTTCTTTGTTTTTTTGGTCATTTCAAATAATAATTAAAATCTTTAATTTATTTTTAAATAATTGAACAACTATGAGTGATTCAGATGATGATATTTTTAAAAAGAAGAAGCCAAGCAAAAAGAAAATAGAACAATAACAAAAGTAACAATAACAATAACAATTACAATAATAACAAAAATAACTTAAACAAGAACTAAACTAACCAGATTTACAATAAAACAATCCAAAACATCCTAAATTAGTTATTTATTGTGTAATATGTACATTACCTGTTGAATTCTGTACATATTCTAAGGCTCCATAAGAATGCAAAGAATGGTTAAAAACAACATTTAAAGATCTTTATGCACTCTTATATCCTGAAGATCTCAAATTAGAATAAGAAAAATAGGCTGCTCTACTTTTACAATAATAATAAATAGCTCAATAATAAATATTATTATAACCTCCAGAAAAAAAGAAAAAAAAGAAAGTCAAAGTGACAGAAAGTGATATGGTTTATATAAAAGTTAAAGAAAGAAATAGAAATAAATTTATAACAACCTTGTCAGGATTAGAAAAACACGGTAAATAAATTATTTCATTTTATATCAGGTCTTGACATCAAGGAAACTTAAAAGAAAATTAGTAAAAAATTTGGTTGTGGTTCATCAATCAATGAAAAAGGAGCTATTGAATTATAAGGAGACCTAAGCGCAGAATTAGAGGAATGGCTTCCAAAAGAATATCCCTCTATTAAAGAAGACATGATTGCAATTCAAGAAAAATGAGATTTAAATCTGAAATATCTATATATTTTAAATATAAATGAAACACCGTCAAAAGTAGAAACAAAACTCTAAATTATATAATGTTGAGAAAATTGTAGGCAGACGATATGATCCTGTTTCAAAAGAATTATAATATTGCATTAAATGGGAAGGTTATAGTGAAGCAGAAAATACTTGGGAACCTTTAAGAAATCTCAAGAATATATAATCAGATATTGAGGAATTTGAAAATTAATAGCGCAATAAGAAATAAAACATATCTCTCAAAATTGATAAAAAAAAACTGAAATATTAGCTTCTCAAAAAATTAACTCATTTTCTTGAAAAAATAGCCCCTAAACCATAATAATTATAAGAAATAAGTTTAAGCGATTATGAGAGCTCATGCGAGGAAATTTAACAAAAAAATAAACAACCAGAAGCCCAGTCTTAAACTATTCCAGATCAATTCAAAGCAAAATCTTAAATTTTAACACAAACTTACCATTGAAATTCCCAAATTTGTGAATCTAATATTGATTATTGAAATTATCCTGCTAATTTTTCTGTCATTTAAAGATCTCAAGTCCTCTATGTAGTAGAAAACATCTATTAGGTTTGATTTATAATCCATAGTAATATAAAGAATTAATAAAGTGATAATTATTATACATTTATTAAAAAATAATGATTATTGAGGCAAATTCTTTGGCAGAAGAATTACGAGGTGTTTCAAGGTACGAAAAAGTAAATAAAAAAATAATTTCAATAAGATTGCTTATGTATCAATTTTTTTGATTGGATTACTTGTCATAAAAACAGATGATGCATATATTACGTGTTAAAGTTCAAATGAGTTTGAAGGAGTAATTTGGGAACTAGGTTTGCTACCGTTAGCTTTTATTGGTGATATTAGTAAAAACTTGAACATAAATATTTTTATTGTGGGATTAGTTCAATTTTTGATTTGTCAATTAAGGCTTCAATTTACTATGATAAATTTGCTCTACAAAATATTAGGTTAAGGAAAAATAGTATTATAATGAATATATTTAAGAGACATATAGCTTACTTTACCTTATTCCATTGATAACAAATATAATGCTACCTCATTAAAAGTTATTTTTTGGTTTTGCATAATTTATATTGATATTGTTGATTATAATGTTAAATAAAACTTTAATCTAGGAGAAATAGCACAAACCAAAAATTAATTTAAAATTTTACACAAGTAGATTGATAGCATGTATTATATTAATGCAAAAATTGGATATGGTTAATAGTAATTTTTATGAAAATCAAGTGATTTTTATGGGTATTATTTTAAAGTATTCAATAGTTCTTAGTTTACCTGTTGTTAAATTAATAAGCAGTTGTGTACCAGATATAGTATTTGGAATAGTATTCTTGATTTACTTTTACTTTAGTAAAGGATATCTATTTTTTGAAATTGTGTTGTAGAGTGTACTTATTTGTTTTGTAATTTTGAAACTGTTACCTGTAATAATGGATTAAAAATTTTCAAGTATATTAATAGATTAATAAAAATAGTGATAATCTCGTTGCTTTTGCCAATAGTAATATTAACATTTCCATTAACAGAGTATTTTTATGTGTTATTGATATTGTTATAAATTAGTGAGCCACCATAAAACTTATATGAATAGATTGAATTATGAATAAAAAATATATATAAAAATTAAATTATGGGCAGAGGTGATTTTAATAGTAGAGGTGGAGGAAGAGGAGCCCCAAGAGGTGGGAGTTTTGGTAGAGGAGGTGGAAGAGGTGGAAGACCTTAATAACCTTAAGGACCACCAGCAAAAGTTGAAGCATTCGCTACTTATTCTCATGTTTGTGGAAATCAAATAATTGTTAAGGCTTTAGGAAAGCAATTAGTATAGAAGATGATGATTATTAGGTTCCAAGATTCTTTAGAAGTGTATATTTTGAAAATAAGCAACCAATTGGTAAAGTTGATGAAATATTTGGTCCAATTGAAAATTATTTATTCTCAGTAACATTGGAAGAAGGAATAACTCCAAAATCAGTACTCAAAACATTTAATCAAAGTTCAAATAAGATCAATTGATTTATATGGATGCATACGATTGCATGCCTATGGATAGATTTTTACCAAAGCCAAAAGGTACACCTGGAATAAGTAGAGGAGGAGCCAGAGGAGGATCAAGAGGTGGTGGTAGAGGAGGACCTAGTAGAGGTGGAAGAGGAGGAGCACCTTTTAGAGGTGGAAGAGGAGCACCGAGAGGAGGAAGTGGATTTAGTAGAGGTGGTGGATTTTAAAGAGGAGGAGGTTATGGAAGAGGAGGATTTAAAAAATGATAAAGTATATTATATTTTATTTCATTATCATTAACATGTTAAATTATATTTGAATTTCTCTCTAGCATCATCAACACTACTCAAAATATTTTAATATCGATATCTTTTTTATAAGTCTTTGTCTGGAGTTTTTATTATTTGATGCTAATTACCTATCAAACTAAAAACACTTTTTTCATTATTATTCTTTAATTTTGTATATTAATTTGCAAAAAATTATGGATATGGCAATTAACCTATTTAATATAATGATTTCTAATGTAATTCATTATGAATTAAATCCTACTCAATTTCTTTTGCTTATTGATATGTATCACTTACTTAATGCAAAATATCCAAAGGATCTTGAATATTTTAGTAATATTATTCAAATTATTCCTTTTGTTATTAATTATATTCTTTTTATTTTATTGGAATTACTCTAAATTATTCTTTTACTTTTTCAAAATCCAATTTAATAGCCCCATTAAAATTTGGAGCCAATTGTTACTAAGATTTATCAAATTAATTTGAATTAAATTATCTATAAAGCATTTCAACCCCAACAAAAATGTCATTTCCTTTTGTATCCATTACCTAATTTAATTTGTTAATATCAGAATTATATGAATTAAAAATCTCATGATCATCCAAATCCTTATCAAAATAGCTTTCTTAAACCTTTTATAACTACTATTAAAGAACTTCTATTTATGAATAATCTTTTGTTGGCTTATCTTCAATTTATATATCCTTTGCTGTTTCATATTAATGAAATTTTAAATTTTAAAGTTTAGAAATAGAATCAATTATTGATTATCCTTAATTACTAGCTTTTTAGTATTTATTATCTCTTTTAATTGTTGTATTTAAATATATATTATTGAACTTTGGATTCTTATTTATTTAATTATAGTGTTAATTTTCTTCTATTTTTAATTGATGNGGATGCATACGATTGCATGCCTATGGATAGATTTTTACCAAAGCCAAAAGGTACACCTGGAATAAGTAGAGGAGGAGCCAGAGGAGGATCAAGAGGTGGTGGTAGAGGAGGACCTAGTAGAGGTGGAAGAGGAGGAGCACCTTTTAGAGGTGGAAGAGGAGCACCGAGAGGAGGAAGTGGATTTAGTAGAGGTGGTGGATTTTAAAGAGGAGGAGGTTATGGAAGAGGAGGATTTAAAAAATGATAAAGTATATTATATTTTATTTCATTATCATTAACATGTTAAATTATATTTGAATTTCTCTCTAGCATCATCAACACTACTCAAAATATTTTAATATCGATATCTTTTTTATAAGTCTTTGTCTGGAGTTTTTATTATTTGATGCTAATTACCTATCAAACTAAAAACACTTTTTTCATTATTATTCTTTAATTTTGTATATTAATTTGCAAAAAATTATGGATATGGCAATTAACCTATTTAATATAATGATTTCTAATGTAATTCATTATGAATTAAATCCTACTCAATTTCTTTTGCTTATTGATATGTATCACTTACTTAATGCAAAATATCCAAAGGATCTTGAATATTTTAGTAATATTATTCAAATTATTCCTTTTGTTATTAATTATATTCTTTTTATTTTATTGGAATTACTCTAAATTATTCTTTTACTTTTTCAAAATCCAATTTAATAGCCCCATTAAAATTTGGAGCCAATTGTTACTAAGATTTATCAAATTAATTTGAATTAAATTATCTATAAAGCATTTCAACCCCAACAAAAATGTCATTTCCTTTTGTATCCATTACCTAATTTAATTTGTTAATATCAGAATTATATGAATTAAAAATCTCATGATCATCCAAATCCTTATCAAAATAGCTTTCTTAAACCTTTTATAACTACTATTAAAGAACTTCTATTTATGAATAATCTTTTGTTGGCTTATCTTCAATTTATATATCCTTTGCTGTTTCATATTAATGAAATTTTAAATTTTAAAGTTTAGAAATAGAATCAATTATTGATTATCCTTAATTACTAGCTTTTTAGTATTTATTATCTCTTTTAATTGTTGTATTTAAATATATATTATTGAACTTTGGATTCTTATTTATTTAATTATAGTGTTAATTTTCTTCTATTTTTAATTGATGATCTTAAGGTTTTTCTTTATCAAAATATAGTTTCTTGACTTTATCATAAAAATCATACTAATTTTAACTCCACTTATATTCTTATTTTTCTGCTTCTGAAACTATTTCAATTTTTTTATCTGTAACTGTGTCCTAGGTTTATCCTTTTCTCAAAGATTCATGAAAATCTTCTATCTTTTTGAACACACTATCAGTGTTTTCTTCATAAGTATCAACATCATATGTAATTTATTTAGCAACTGGATTAAATTGCACTTTATTGATTTTTAAAGGTGCCAAAGTTGAATCTTTTTGTTTTTCAACAGTTTACATTGCTGAAATATCAAATTTTTTATCTAACTTTACTTTCTCAAAATCAATCTTTGGAAAAACTGTTTATAACTTTTATTTATCTAAAGTAGTGTCATTTTTAAAAACAGTTAAAAATTCCTTACTCAACTCTGGTTCTTATTCTTATCTTTCTGCTATTAATTATGGTGTATATTTATCATTTTAATTTAAACTTTTTTTAGTTTTTTGTTATAAGTTAGATAATTCCTCTTAATTATTTATTTATTATATTTCTTCCAGTTATTATTGTTATTGTTCTTATTCTTAAGGCTTATATTTTGAATTAGATTTTAAACAACTTAATAAAGCACCTAATCTGTGTGTTCTTACATATGCTAAAAGTTACTAATTCAATCTAAAAAATATACCTTTTTCTTAAAAAATATTTATTTCCTCAGCTCTTCTTTTACCATCCAAAAATAAATGATGATTTTACTAAAATTGATTAGCATTAGTTAATTAACTTAATTATTCTTAATATTATTTATTCTATTTTTATTGAATAAACTCATCTAATTTATCTAAATCTTCTTGTTATTTTACTCCTCCTAAAATTTAAACATATAAAATATGTTTATTTAAAGATTCATTTTGTTTATGTTCATGAGGATTTAATTTTTATAAACATTTATCTAAATCTATTAAATCTATTTTTTTATCTTGAATCTTATCAAGATATACAAATCCATTCTTCTTTAAATTTATTAAATCTGCTTAAATGATCCTTTTATCAGTTGGAGCTCTTAAGTTTTTAGTTTGATCTAAATTTTATTTAAAGGAGTATAATCCCTCTTTCATTATAATAATATTATATTATCATTTATTAATAATTAAATACTAAATTAAGTAAATTGTGTGATTAATCAATAAAATCCAGTGCTAGTCCTTGATCCACCAAAAAATTTAATTTTTGGTTAAAATGTGCATTATTTAGCCTCTTTTTATTCTAATTATTATTTAATCTACTTGATTTTTTATTATTTAACTATATTTTCTTTCATTGCCTTCTAATATAAGGCAGCTGGTCCTTTAAATGTTTATCTTTATTTTGCAATAATCTCTGATTTTTAATTTAATTAAGGTCTAAAAGTACTGGATTAATCAGGCTATGTTTTTTACTATTTATTTTATCTCTAAAATAGTCGATTTTTATCAACAACACTCATTTTTTCAATGACATCCAAACATTTTGCTGTCCATGTTTCAATATTTAAATAAATGTCCAATTTTTCTAATTATAAAATAACTGGTTATAATAGTTCTAATGCCTCAGTTGGTAATTCCTCGAGATAAATATTTTGAGCACTAATCAATCCATCATTATCCGAATCCATTAGTTTAAAATAATCTTCTAGTTTTTTTTTTCTCATTTATAAAACTATTTAATTAGATCTTTCAGTTTATACGGATTTACTTAAATCATCACATTCAAATTATATGATTGATTCTTCATTTAAAGATTTTTATTATTGATAAAGGTACTCTCCAATACTGAGTCCACCTCTAGATCTGTTTGCACTATGAACTTATGGTTAAAATAGTTTTTATCCACTTTTATCATCATACATTTGAGATTCTTCTATTTCTTATTTTAATTTATCTTCCTTAATCTTTTTTTGCATTTCCACTCTTTCTAAAAATGGTAAATATTGTTTATTTTATGATCTATTAGGAGTTACACTTCTTTTTGTTTATTAGGTTTATGATTCCTAAATAAAAGAAGTTTAAGATTTATCATTAGCTTTTCTTATTTTAGCATGATTATAAAGTTAATCAAATTTAGTCATGCTCACATCTTTCTTTATAATTTCATCACAAATTTTCTGAGAGCTAAATAAAAAAATTATTATTACATTTTGTTAATCTCAGGTTTAAAAGAACATTCTCTTGAAGTTTCATTCATAAATTATTATTCAGCCTTTCTCTTTTATTCTTGTAATTATTATCCATATTTCAACAAATAATATTCAGGTGTTTTATTTCTATTTTATCTGGTAGTGCTAACAATTTTCAATGTATTTTAATTGAGCTTAGGTTTGAACGTAGCTTCTTTAATTTATTCTTCTTCTTTTAATAATCTTTACTTTTAGAGTACATTATTTTTAAAATTCATTTATTTGACTTATTTTTCATAGATGTTAGTTTTTTTGATGGCTGTTTATGATTTATTCAAAATATCATTCTTGTTTTCTTTCTTCTCTTAATTTATTTCCCTAATTTAATTAATAGTTTAATCATGCAAAGGCTTATTAGTATTTGTATTACTTATCTAAGTTGATTAATTTACGAAGCTAAAATAATTTTCTTTCTCATTTAGATTTAGTTTAATATTTTGAGCAATGATATCTATAATTTCATCTTTTAAATGATGTTTTTCACAAAATTAACTAGCCTTAACTCCAATATCATCCCCTTCATATAGATAAATGATATCATGTTCATTCTATCCAAGTTATATGGTTAATTCTAGCAATAATTTTCTGTCATCCATCAATCCTAATTCGGCTAGCAAACTTTCTTAATCAATCATACAAGAATTCGTTAAAATAATTAAAATTTTATTATAAGCACATTTCATATACTTAGAAATTCTTAGTTAATCTTAAATTAAAGAGCTTATCTCAAAAAGATAGATGTAGGTATCAACAAAGACTTGCTGTTAGATATATTGATTTTTCATATATCTCTAAAGAGATGTACTAAGAATTAAAATATTAATTTAATACTTATTTTCTATAATTGGTAGTAAATGAATTGAAGAAATGATATATATTTATATGTCTTTCTTAAGAAAAAGAAAATATTTAATAATTAAATATTTTATAACATTAAAATGCTGAAAGTCTTGATTTTTATTTCAATGTTAATAGGATTATGTTTGAGTAGTCAATACACTCCAATTCCAGTAATTCCTGATGGATTGATAATTGGGGACAACCCTAATTTAGTAATTGAAGCTTTTTATGACATTTTTTGCCCAGGCTCTAGAGAATCATATAATATATTCAAAACAGTAGTTGAAACCTTAGAGAAAGACTCTTTTACTGTAAAAGTTTGATTTAGATTTTAGTATATCATTCATCAATTTCCACTTACATATCACAAGAATGCCTTTGCTGCATCAGCAGGTTTCAAATACATTTGGAAATCAATATCATAAGAAGCAGCTTATAAATACTAAGGATTGCTATTGAATAATTTAGAATAATTCACAGGTAATATAAATATATCAATAAAGATTTGGCAACTCTGAATATGAAATAATCTGAAGTAGATTAGAAGATTGTTGATTTAGTAAAAGTAGGATTACCTTAATATTAAATCGATACTAATGGACTACTAAATTCAATGAAACCTGGTACACCTGAAAATATAGAAACTAGAAAAAGTTGGAAATATGGAACTAGCAGAAGTGTAAGTGGAACTCCTACAATATTTGTAAATGGAGTTTTATTTGATAAGGGAGAAGAGTTATCAGCTCAATAGTGGATTCAATATATTCGGAATCGTAAATAATAAAATTGAATTAATTTTACATTATGTATGTGATGATGAAATCAATTATTAAATTAATTTATGAAAAGAGTCTTCTTGTTTCTTGGAATTGCTACTATAGTTTTATCAAATCAATATGTTCCAATTCCAAATAAACCTTTAGGAGTAAGCTTAGGAGATTCAAAAAAAATAATTATTGAAGCCTTCTATGATTTATAATGTCCAGATAGCAAAAATTCTTTTGGAATACTTGATTAAGTCTTGAAATAAGGCTATGGATCATAGTATGACATTTCATTAATTATAGATTTAAATATACAATTCATATGTTTCCACTACCATTTCATAGAACAGCATTTCCTGAATCTTAGGCATTTGCATTTTTATCTGAAATTAGTTCAGAAGCAGCTTATTTATTCGCTTAAACTATATTCGATAATTAAGATTTACTTTCAGAATCAGCAACCTAAGAATTGACTTGGTAATAGATATTAGATAAAATTGCTTAAATTGCTAAGGAAAATGTGCATCCAAAATATTAATATGATGAAGTTAAATTTGCTAAATCACTCTTACCAGGATCTGATTGGAATATAAAGGCTAGATATTGGTGGAAATATGGTACTTATAGAACTATTTCTGGCACACCTGTTTTCTTAGTTAATGGAGTTATATTAGATGAAGCAGAAGAATATACAGAAGAAAAATGGATAGAGTTGATTAATAAACTAAAAAACTCTCATAACACTCTGGAATTATGATAAAATATATGTTAACAAATTTAAATTTTAAGATTGCTCATTGTTTCTGTTCATTAATTAATTAATGAATTAATATTATTTATTATGTATACTGTTATATATAATTAAAACAAATGAAATAAAAATAAGGTTTTGGTTCTAGTTTTATGAAAATGATGTAAGCTAAGTTTAAATTAGAACGAATGCAGCTTTTAAATTAGATAATCTCTTAAGTGAAGATATTAAACAGAATGAACCCATGTATATTTTTGGTTAAGAAATTGAGAATGTTGATTCATTTCTTCAGTTAAAAGAAACTTTCATTTGGTTTAGTTATAGAGCCAATATTCAATATGAAGGAAGAGCAATATCTGATTAAGGATGGGGATGCTTGATAAGAGTTGGTTAAATGATTCTAGCTGTATAATTCTATCATAAAAACTTAGAACTCATTAATTAGAAATAATTCTTCATCACTTTTGAAAGATTTGAAAACTAAAATTATAAACTTATTTGATGATGATGAATCCTTTTCCACTATAGCACCATTTTCTATTCATTAAATAATTAAAAAAGCTGCTTTAAATTATAATCTAAAAATTGGAGATTGGTACACTGGCCCTAAAATTATGTGTTTATTAGAAGAATTAGTTTCTACTGTTAAAACCATTAAATAATTAAAAATTATCAACTTTCTAGAATAGTGCATAATTGAATAGCAAATTGATTTAAAATTCAATCAAGCTTAATTAATAGTCATTCATGCTATTATAGGAAATAAAGAATTAGATTCATATTTTGAAGCTTAACTATAAAAACATATAGAAATTCCTTAATTTGCCGGAGCAATTGTAGGCAAAAATAATAAAGCATATTTTTTAATAGGATATCAGAATAAATTAGGAATACTTATGGATCCTCATTATGTTTAAGTATAAATTTTTACTCTATTATTAGGAAAGTGGCTATATATAATTGAAGCCCTAATTAAAATGTACACCATTAAAAGAATTTTCTGGTACAATAGCCTTATGTTACTTTATCTCTAGTAGTTAAGATTATAAGGAATTCAAGACAGCTTTAAAAGAACTAAAGGGATCAATTTTCAACATAATAGATGAGAATTATACATGTATTTTTTGATCGTAAAAATAATTTTATTTAAAAAATCAATTTTACCATCCAATAAATGGATCATCACTAGGTTTTACAGGTTTAGGTAATTCTGTACTATCAGGATAAGTAGAATAGTTAGAAGTATCTCCCTTGTTTCTTTATAGAAAAATTCTTATACTTAACTACAGGCCTATATTTAGGTTATAATTTTTTTTAGATTAAAAATTCCCAATCCATACTTTAAAACCATCTATGAATTTTGATATCATTAGCCCCTCCTTTTAGATTTCCAAATCTCTTAGTTAAATCAGCCACTAACAAATGTTTGACTAAACTTTTAGCTTCTCTATATAAAAATGAATAATATTTTACTTACTATTAAAAATTTCTGGGAAATTTCACTTTTCCTTTTAATATTTTTTAATAAATAGCCATAGGATCTTCATCATTAAAAGGATCAATTCCAGCTAACATTTCATAAATCAAAATTCCTAAGCACCACCAATCAACTGGTTTTCCATGACCTTTAAATGCTATATATTTTAATACCTTTATTAAGAAGTATTTCTGGAGCCAAATATTCTGGAGTACCACATAAAGTATAAGTCCTGCCTTCAATTTATTTAGCAAAACCAAAGTCTGTCAATTTTAAATATCCATCAGACCCTATTAAAAGGTTTTCTGGTTTTAAATCTCTATAAACAATATTTTTGGAATGCAAATATTCAAACATAAGTACAACTTAAGCTGCATAAAATCTAATTTTTATATAAAATGATTACACTGCTTCATCATTCTCTAATTTACCCTTGTTTCTTAAATAAGTAAAGAGTTCACCTCCTTGAACATACTCTAGAAGAAAATAGAGATATCTTTCATCTTAGGTAAATCCAAGCATTTTAATCTAAATATAGGAAAATAATATACTAAAAAAGGATGGCTTATATTAGATAAGATTGTATTTTCAGAGATAATATGATCTACTTATTTTAATCTCAAAATCTCAGCTTTTTTTAACATTTTTAATGCAACATATTCCCCAGTTTCTTTGTTCTTTGCTAATCTAACTCTGCCAAATGAACCAGTGCCCAAAGTTTATAAAATTTCATAATCTGTAAGTTTCACTTTAATTGCCTTAAATGTTGCTTAATCCATTTTGAATAAATATTTAACAATAAATTATTTATATTTTTTTAAAATCTAGAATCATAGTTTATATGCTCAGAGACCTTTAATAAAATTTTACATTTGATTCCATCCAATAATACATCCTGATATCAACATTCCTAAATCATCATTATTAAATTATCCAATAAGGTCTAACTCAATATTTCTTATGAATTAATTCAAAAAACTAAATTCATTTTTCACTCCACTATTTTTCTTTCCCATCTTAACAAAACCTTTTTTTATCTTCTAAAAACTTAATATTAAATAATATAATACAGCTATGTAGGATGAAAATGAATCTTTCATTCTCATTCCAAGTAATAATAATGAATAATACAATGTATTAAATGTTTTAGAACAAGGAGGAAATTCGATAAAAATCTCAGTAAAGGATTATTTTTAATAAGTGACCATAAATATCAAATGCATTTATAAATTATAAATGCCTCTTTTTATGATTTCATTACCATCCAATTTTATGTTTATTTGGCATTCAAATGATTACTGATAACTTGAACCAATTCTAGCTATTTCATTTAGTTACTTAATTTTTACAAATACAATACAGATGAAAACGCCTCCTTGTAATAAATATTTTTGAAATAAATTGCATCAACAAACAATCTATTCTTTCAGAAAAATCTGCCCTCATTGGTATCATATTCAGATTCAAAGAGCACTCTATTTATATTTCCGTCTTACTAATTTGTTTATATTGAAAGGACTCAACTCATGGTCAATCCATTTATATAAATAATATTAATTTTCATTTTAATTATTTTTTAATGAATTTGTTATACAAAATCAGTATTGGTACTAATGGATACTAAATCTTCTTAAACTTACCTTTCTTAATAAACACAATCCAAAAATAAATGAAAAACAAAAACATCAAAAAAATGAATAACTTTTTTCTATTCTTTTTTATAGGTATCCCAATCTATAATCTTGGTTATGATAATATTCCTTTATGTTAATTAATAAAATACCAAAAGGTACACTATTTTCCAATTTCATCTTTATCCATTCATTCAATTATAATTTTATACTCTAAAATTCTTCATCATGTTATAATTCATGATATCCTTCTTCAAATAATTTTATTGTTTTATCCTTGCTTCCAACTTATTTAAAAAATTAAATGCTATCTTCATAATTACTTTGTGTATCCTATTTTCCATGAAATATTATTAAAGGAAATTAAAATAACTCAGAATTTTAAAAAATAAAAGGCAATGTTTTATAAATGCTTCTTGCCATTCCTACTCCTAAAAATGGCATTACTAATCTATCCTCAAAAATTCTTTAAATATGTTAATTATTCTTACTCATACTTGTTGGGTTAACATTTGTATTTATAACTAAATCCTTAAAAATAATTAAGAATAAAAATACTTCTAAATAGTGCCCAAAGTTCTTTATTAAAAATTGTTTAATTGGGCCAATATTTCTATTTAAAGGAAATCCAAGTGTTGGAGCAGTACATATTACACCTGAAATTTTTAATTTTGCATTCCCAATCAATAAACTTATTATAACAAGTGCACCCATGGCATGTCCATATAAAAATAATGGTAAATCTTTTGATGCTTATCTAATGAGAACCTCCACATCCATCTAAAGATCTGTAATTACTTATGATCCTCTAGGTCCACCTGAAAATCCAAAACCTCTTAAATCGATTAAATGGACTACGAAATTCATTTTTGCAAAGAAGTCAGCCACCTATTCAAATTATTATTTATACATGTAAAAATCTTCCTTAATGTTCTCCAAATCCATGTATTATACAAATTGATGCTTTTTTATTAGGAGGATNTATCATATTCAGATTCAAAGAGCACTCTATTTATATTTCCGTCTTACTAATTTGTTTATATTGAAAGGACTCAACTCATGGTCAATCCATTTATATAAATAATATTAATTTTCATTTTAATTATTTTTTAATGAATTTGTTATACAAAATCAGTATTGGTACTAATGGATACTAAATCTTCTTAAACTTACCTTTCTTAATAAACACAATCCAAAAATAAATGAAAAACAAAAACATCAAAAAAATGAATAACTTTTTTCTATTCTTTTTTATAGGTATCCCAATCTATAATCTTGGTTATGATAATATTCCTTTATGTTAATTAATAAAATACCAAAAGGTACACTATTTTCCAATTTCATCTTTATCCATTCATTCAATTATAATTTTATACTCTAAAATTCTTCATCATGTTATAATTCATGATATCCTTCTTCAAATAATTTTATTGTTTTATCCTTGCTTCCAACTTATTTAAAAAATTAAATGCTATCTTCATAATTACTTTGTGTATCCTATTTTCCATGAAATATTATTAAAGGAAATTAAAATAACTCAGAATTTTAAAAAATAAAAGGCAATGTTTTATAAATGCTTCTTGCCATTCCTACTCCTAAAAATGGCATTACTAATCTATCCTCAAAAATTCTTTAAATATGTTAATTATTCTTACTCATACTTGTTGGGTTAACATTTGTATTTATAACTAAATCCTTAAAAATAATTAAGAATAAAAATACTTCTAAATAGTGCCCAAAGTTCTTTATTAAAAATTGTTTAATTGGGCCAATATTTCTATTTAAAGGAAATCCAAGTGTTGGAGCAGTACATATTACACCTGAAATTTTTAATTTTGCATTCCCAATCAATAAACTTATTATAACAAGTGCACCCATGGCATGTCCATATAAAAATAATGGTAAATCTTTTGATGCTTATCTAATGAGAACCTCCACATCCATCTAAAGATCTGTAATTACTTATGATCCTCTAGGTCCACCTGAAAATCCAAAACCTCTTAAATCGATTAAATGGACTACGAAATTCATTTTTGCAAAGAAGTCAGCCACCTATTCAAATTATTATTTATACATGTAAAAATCTTCCTTAATGTTCTCCAAATCCATGTATTATACAAATTGATGCTTTTTTATTAGGAGGATCAAATTTTGTATAATAAAGTCTAAGATCTTATCCAAACCCTGGTATATATCCTCTGAGCACTTTATAATCAGGCAAATTATATTCTCCTATGAATTTAGTGTCATCTTTAAAAAAATCATTTATAGATTCTTATTCTTTTAAGTTCATTAAAAATTTAACAGAATAATAGAACAATATTAGATGAAGTTTGAACATAAGAAGAAACTTTCTGTCCATTTAGATATTTCATAGCTAAAATCTAATTCTTATTTAAACTATCCACTTTCAACTAAAAGAAAGATTGATAATCCTTAATCGACAAGAAAATTAGATACTTCCCCTTTGAGTGTAAGTCCCAATAATTCATTTTTATCTTCTGAACGAAAATTATAACGAAAATACCCAACAAATAATAGTAAAACTAATTCCTTGAAAAGCATGCTCTAACCCTATAAAATCAGGTCACCATCAGACAAAGAAAATTATCACAGTTTTTTAAGCAATAAAAGTCAATTAAATAAGTTACCTCTTTTAAGTGAATAATTTCTTAAGTTATATAATTTAACAAGAAATGAACAAAGTGAATTGAATGGAATAAAATAAGTATAAATTTAATCATTATTTTAAGGTTTATTATTATAAATAACCGAAATGTCTTATTGACTAACCTAATGGAGATTATTCATATAATATTAAAGATCATATAAGATATTAATATGAGATTATTAGCTTATTAGGATAGGGCAGTTTTGGTTAAGTATTTTAAGTTTTGGATCATAAAACTCAATAAATATATGCTTTAAAAGTAATAAAAAACTAAGAAAAATTAAAAAAACAAGCTATTATAGAGGCCAACATACTTTAATATATTAAAGATCATGATAATGATCAACTTTCAAATATAGTTAGAAATATAGAACAATTTACATTTCGAGGACATCAATGTATCGTTTTCGAGAAATTAGAGTAAAATTTATTTGAATTGATATAAAAATAAAAATACAAGGGAGTTGATCATGAATTAGCTAGAAAGATAGGAATTTAACTTTTGAATTCTTTAAATTTTTTGAATAAACATAAGATTATACATTGTGATATAAAACCTGAGAATGTGATGTTATTAGATAATTCAAAAAGTGGAATAAAATTAGTTGATTTTGGTTCTGGTTGTTTTGCTGGTTAATAAATCTATACTTATATACAGAGTAGATATTATAGAGCACCTGAAGTTATATTTGGATTAAAATATGGTATTGAAATTGATATGTGGAGTTTTGCATGTTTGATATCAGAATTGTATATAGGAACTCCAATTTTCCCAGGAGATGATGAAATTGAATAAATAAATTTGATTATTGAAATCATTGGAGCACCCTCTGTTGATTTTGCCTTGAAATGTCCAAGAAGAAAATATTTTTTTGATGAAGATGGACATCCTAAAAAAAATATTAAATCTTATCGCAAACCAAATTCAGTTAGTCTTTATGATAAATTAAGAACCGAAGATTCTGATTTAGTTGATTTTCTACTGAGATGCTTTGCTTGGGAACCCTAGAATCGTTTACAACCATTAGATGCACTTAAACATCCATGGATTATCGCTGGTCTCCCAAAAGAAATATAAAAATAGCATAAAAAATATATAGAACTTGAAAAGCTGCTTCAAACATAGAAAACACCATTGGTTTAGTAATTATGTGAATAAGGATATAAATAAAATAAATCCAAAGATCATAATTAAGAAGATGCTAATACTAAAACGAAAAAGTCAATAAAATCAATTTTAAATATCAACACCAATCTCAGTAATACATCTGATCCAAAATCTAGTATTAAATCAATTTTAATATAGTATTGAGTAGTCGCTATCATGATAAGCCTTTATAATCTGAAAGGTAAAGATAGAATATTGCTTCATCTATCTACAAATTGTTATCTGATAAGCCAAAGAGTAGGAAGCCATCTTGTAATTGAATATAATATATATTCTAACTTTTTAGGTTAAAGGATATTTTTCATTTATATCATTTCATATGATTATTATTAATTTTATAATAATTTTATGTTTCGTTCTTTCTTTTTTAAAAATATATAAAGAATTGCTGATATTAATATTTATATTTTTTCTATTTATATATGAAAAATAAAAGAAAACATAAGATTAAACAATTTGAAGAAATCGAAATTAACGAAACATATAAGGATACTCCTTCATCAAAATAAGAAGATAGCTAAAGTAATGAGATTGATCAAACAAGTAATTCAATTCAGCACTAAGAACAGGAGTAAAAATATGATTTTAATGTTATACCTATAAAAGTAAAATAAAATTATTATAAATTTAGGTGGTAGCATTAACAGTCTTTCTATTTTTATTGGGTGTTATTTTTATAATTTTTGGTTTAGTTTTTTTAATCAAAAACCCAAACAAATTTTAATAATACATTTCACTGTTAATAGTAGGAAGCTTGATGATAATTCCAGGAGTCTATTATAGTTGTTTATTAATAAAATTTATGAGAGCTGATACTAGATCTACTTAATAGAGAATTTTAAATGAACTTCCAATAGATTGAATTATAATTATTTTATATTTTAGGTTAAAACAAGTTTTTAAAATTAAGAAATGATATAAAGTATCTATAATATTGTTATAAAATTGAAAATACTGAAAAAGATAAATTAAATATTAAAAAACTAGAAGGAATTCTGAATTAAAGTTAAGAATGATTATAAAAATATGATTCATAATTTATGATTTAAAATAAGAAGGTAAAATTTGATAGTTAAGGAAAATAAATATAAATTGAGAGTCTTTAATATAAAAAATATAATTTCATGTAATAAATTATGTTTGAAGGGAAATAGTGATGAATGATAGATAGTATTAGTTTAGTGAGTTATAATGATAAAGATAAATAGGAATTGAATATAATGTATATAATTTTATAATTAATACGTTTTAATTGATAAATGCATTACGTTCCAATCTCATAAACAGAGAGACGTATATCAAAGTTGAAGCACAAAAATAAATAGAAGACTATGTTTATAATAGTGGGAGCATTACTAATTTGTTTGATAGCAATGTTGGTGCTAATAGTATTAGATGTTAATAGTATTGTTTTATTATATGAGATTATGTTAAGATTAATAGTATATTTTAAATATGGTAACCTCAAAACACAGTAGCAATGGTTTAGACTTAAAGAGATGTTATAACATCGAAACATAAGTAAATTGATGAAGAATTGATTCATCTAAAATCAATATTTTAAGAAAAGGCATATAAGGAAGCTACAAATTTGAAATTACCATTAATAGATAAGAATGAATATTAATATTTTACATTGTCAAATGGATTAAAAGTATTGGTAATATAAGATCCAGAGGCAAAAATAGCATAGGCAGCATTATGTGTAAATGTTGGATCATGGACAGAACCAGATGAATACCCCGGATTAGCCCATTTTTTAGAACATATGTTATTTTAAGGTTCTAAAAGTTATCCTTAGGAAGGATATTTTTAAAAATTAGTAGCTGAAGGAGGTGGATCAACAAATGCATATACAAGAGGAGAAGAAACTAATTATTATATGAAGATTAATAATGAAAGAGTTGTAGAAGCTTTATAAGTATTTGCTCATTTTTTTATTGATCCTTTACTTGATTCAAGTATGGTGGATAGAGAAGTAAATGCAGTAAATAGTGAATATGAAATTGCAGTATCAGGAGATTTATGGAAGATTTCACATCTATTTTAGATATTATCAAATAAACCAATAGGTAGATTCACTATAGGTTCATTAAAGACTTTATAAGATCCTATGAAAGAATTAGTAAAATTTCATTCACAATACTATAGTGCAAATATTATGAGTTTAGTAGTAAAATCAAATTATCCTGATATGGCCAAATGGATAAGAGAATAAAGTGATTTCTCATAAATTCCAAATTTAAATCTAAAAAAAAAATAGAAACTACATTTACCTTTAAAAAAAACAGGTTTGATGGTTAAGTATAAAACAAATGGAGATAAAAATTAATTATTATTAGCATATTAATTAGATTCTCCTAGAAGTGCTAAGAAAAGCAAAACTCTCCCTATGATAGCATCATTAATTAAATCAAAACATAAGGAAGGATTACTAGATTATTTAGTAAAATAAAAGATGGCTTTAAATGTTGATGCAGGTACTTTCTTAGAAGGTAATGGAGATTTTACATTCTTTTTAATTGAAATTGAATTAATAGAGGGAGTGGATGAACTTAAAGTTGCAGAAACTGTTACTGGATACTTTAATAATATGTTAGACTAATTTTATTAAGAAGTTGATAAAAATGAAATCAATTACACACCTTATTTAGAAGAAATCTGGTAATAATATAAATAATTACAATTATCTTAATTTAATTATCTAGATAATAATCATTATCCTACAGTCTAATAAATAGCACATAATCTAAATTATTTTGATTATACTGATGCTATGAGCATTGAATTTCTCTATGAAGAATTTTAACCTGAAATTATCTATAATTACTTAACAGAAATGCTCAACCCATCTAATATTATAATATTTCATGGCTCTCCTAAATTTAATTACCTTAAATAATCATCCGAATTATACAGATTAGAATATGAAATTATTACTCTATCAAAAGAATAAATTAAAAAACTCTCTAGTGCTGTTACCACTAAAGTTGTACTCTTTGATTGGGTCAAATCTAAATCATTACCATTACTATTGCCACGAATTAACACTTTTATTCCTAAAGACTTTAGTATTAAATCTCTTTGTAGAGAATAAACTTCTTTTATTCAAGCTCCACTTGTGTTTAAAAGTAAAGAAGATTGTATTTAACATGAAAAAGAGTATGAAGCTATCAATCATTATCCTCTTATGATCAAAAGAACTGTTGAAACTAAAGCTTGGTGGAAATTACAAAGATAATTTAAAGTTCCTCAAATCTTTACAGGTGTCATGTTTAATACACCTAAATCTATTAATTCTTTGAAAGATAAACTTTTGATTCAAGTTTTTAACACTCTTGTCACTGATAACTTAAATCAAGAAATATAAGAAGCTATAGATGCTGGATATTAATTCCAATTTACTCCTAGTATTAAAGGAGTTTCCCTTGAATTATATGGATGGTCTGATAATTATCAATCATTTTTTGAAAAAGTTTTATCATCAATAAATAATCTAAAATTTGATTCATTTTATTAGGTCAAGTAAAAATTGTTGATCTATTACAATAATATTTATCAAGACAAATTATTTAGAGTTGCTATGTCAGAATATTTGAACTAAGTTGTTTAAGCTCAATATTATACTTCTCAACTATTTTTAGAAGAGTTAGCTGTCCTAGATATGGAAAGCCTATAAAAATTCCATTCCAATTATTTCTCTAACTTTAGAGTATCATCTTTTGTTAGTGGCAACATACTTAGATCAGAAGTAGAAGATCTTTTACATACAATTAGAAAAGTTTTCCATAAATCAAGTAGTCATACATCAGAAGAACCTCATGTGTTTAACATTAGAGATTTCAGTAACAAAAATGTTGTCGTTCCTTTAATTCACAAAGGAGGTGATAACAGTGATGTTAATGGAGTAACAATCAATTATTATTAAATTGGCCATAGAAACAAAAAGAATTTTGCAATTATGAATCTTATTTAACAATTCTTCCATAACCATGCATTTTAATATCTTAGAACGGAGAGATAGTTAGGATATGTAGCACTAATGAGATTTATTCCTATTGGATGTATTGATGGTGCTGCAATTATTGTTTAAGGCACTGCCTAAATGCCTTATGTTGTTAATTAACATATTGAAGACTTTATTAAATAATTTCATAATGTACTATTGTCATTAGCTGATGAATAATTAGATAATATAAAAAATGGAGCTGTAATAATTATATTTTATTTAGAAATCTGCTCTATAAGAAAAGGATAAATCTTTATATGATGAAAGTGCCTATATTTGGAGTTAGATAAGAGGTAACAATCTACAATTAGAAGAAAAAGAGATTGCTATTGCAATGATTGATGAAATTTTGTAAAAAGTATTCATTGTAATAAACTTAAGGATATTATAGAATTCTATGAAAAATACTTTATTAAACAATAAAATAAGTTAAGTTTGTAAATTTATGGCAAAGGATTGATTGAGCAATTCAATTAAGTTAAAGATAATTTATTAGAAAAGGAATAAATAATTGAACTGAAAACCTTAAATGAATTTAAATGTGCTTATACCCTAAATAATTTATGAAGAAATAATATTAAATAAAATAATTCAATATTATAATAGAATAAATTTAGTTATTTATTAAATATAATACTAAAACTCAGAAGGCTTTTTTAAAATTATTTAATAACATTTCCACTTTACTGTCTTAATTAAAGATCAAATAGTTTTCTACAATTTTTATAATAATAATATTACTTTTCATAATTTTTTTTGTGATACATATTCCAAATCTATTATTAATTTTTGTTTTATTTAGTGATCATTGTTTTCATTTGTTCATTATCTCTAATAATGAATGTTATTATAATTAAAATTTCAAAAATAATTCTTTTGCCCTTTAATGTATTTTATTTGGTCTTGGACTAGGAACTTCAAGTTTCACATTTTTTTTTCTTAAATAAACATTTTGATGAAAAGATTTTATCTGATGAATTTAGGAGATTTTAGTTATCCACCTTCTTTTTAACTCTGAAACTAATAGCCTTATTATTATAAGATCAATTATGCAAAGCTTTCTTTATTTCCTTTATTTTTTTATATTATTATTTTACACATATAAAGTAAATTCTTTTAATGATACTACATTTTTTGTAGTATAATATATGAAATATAATAACGTAAAAGCATATGCATATTTGGAAGTATAAGATTTGGTTTATTTTATAAGTTTTATTTAGGTTATTATTTAACAGGTGATAAATATACAATTTGATGATAAATGGATGTTTAAGGAATAGGAAACTATTAAAAATTTTAAAAGTTGAGTTTGTATTGAGGTATATGATTGGATTAGTGAATATTATTTTCGAAATAAGTAAAGAGATTATTTAATCTTTATAAGGTTTAATAAGGACTTTGAATGATTTTCATTTATAAATAAAAATATTCATTATTATTATTACAAAAACTCAATAATTTGGGAATGATTGTATAATTTAGCTCTATCTAATGGAGTCATGCCTAATTCATCTTTAACATCAAATTAGGCTCCATATTGTTTTAAGTCTTATAACATTTTAAATCTCCCTAGACTTGCTGCTAAATGAACTGGTCTCATTCCTTCATAGGTTTACTAATTAACATTAGCTAGAAATAGAAAAAGTTTGTAACCTTAAAATAATAAACAGAGCAAGAATATTTCATATCTATCAATTACAATACTTTATGTAAGTAGTGTTTATCCTGATTATTCGATTATTTCGGAATCAACATTGATGTTTCCACTGTCAAGATCTTCCTTTATTTATTTAATTCGATTTTATCTTAGATCACTCCATGTAGCATTTTCTCTTATTTCTTCTCTCACTACAAATGATTCATCCGCTCTTATTATTCCAATCTCTAAATATTACAATTCTATACTTATTAGGAATCTATTTATATAAGCCTATAACATTAAAATTAATTTTGTGGTTATATGTTTTCATCCTATCGAAAGAAATTGTTTGATTAAAAACTTGCTGAGTAGCAATAAAATCTCCATTAATAGAAAGAAATGAAAATAAGATAAAGTAGAGGTTAAATTGATCAAAGAGCACTTGCTACTTATCTAGGAGCCTATATTCAAATGAAATGTATAAGATTTTATGCATTTTTAAGAAATTGAAGATTTCTTTTATGAACAATGTATCAATTAATGTATTGATATCTAAAATGAATGGATGAATGATAAAGAAAGATAATGTTTGACTGATTGCAATAGTAAAATAACTAAATTTGTTAAAATTGCCAAAGAAAACTATGCAAATATTGACGATGATACCAAAAAGGTTGTTTCTTCTGTTTCCTCATTGTTAAGTAGAAGATGATTAATTATAAATTTAATATATTATATACCATCTAAGAGACCTTTACTAATCTATTTATTTAAATCAAATCTCATTATAAACTTGTATTCTTATTATATTGCTAATACAAATAAATACTCTATTTCCATCATCTTAGTAATTGCCATATATATTATTTACTTAAGTATATTAATTATATCTAGAAATTTTATACAAATTATTTATAATACTTAAAAAAATATATTGTTAAAATAATAAACAAAGAAATGATTAATATAAATAATGAGTAATCATTCTAAAAGATCAACTCTTCTGAAATGTAATACTTTGAAAGCACCTAAATAATTAAGAAAAGCCAAATCTTTTTATTCTTAAGCTGAAACATTTTAACTTAGTAATCAAGTAGATGGGACAGATGAAAAATTAAAGTATTTATGAGAATAAGAAATAGAAAATTAGAATAATCATTTCATAATTAATCTGATTTTAAAATCTTATAATCTTAACCAAGATTTAATAAGACTTTTTCAGTTCACAAAAAAAATAATTTTGGTGATACAATAATTCCAGAATGGTTAAAATCTAGAAGAGATTTTCAATAAATTTGTTATACGGAATCTATAAATGATTTATTATCTGTCCCTAAAATTATTTTAAAATAACAAAGAAATACTATTGAAGATTAAAGAATAAAAGATTGGATTTAAAATAAAGTTAATGGATTACCAGATGAATTATATAAAGATTTAACTTAAATAATGTCAACTCGAATTTTCACTTATGAGGAAATCTTTGATGTAGACCATAATATAACAATTTTATATGAAGGCAAAGTTTAAAGAGTAAATAAAGATCTTGGATTTCCTATAAATGGTTTACCAATAAAAATAGGAGAATTTTTGAGTGATGAATACTTATATATGGTTAAAACAGATGTAATTATTATAGAAATTCCTAAAATTGAATTGATGTAACTTATGGATGGATTTAAAATTTAAAAATTAGAATAATTTGTATAATAAATGAAATAATTTCCAGCATTCAAATCCATTAAAAAAAATAGTTTACATAAAATCATTACAAGAGGATAATTATAATTGATTATCAAAAATTACTAAAGATTTTAAAGAGCTTCAAATTAGGAATATTTAAGTATACTATTCTATGGTAAATTACAATTGAATTTAAGAAAACTTATAAGCAAAATGAATAAATGGCCTATTTCACAAAATTAATGGGAAACCAAAACTTATTATTAATATCAAGATAGAATTTTAGAATTAGAATCTCTCAGTTGTTTTGGACTTACTGATGATTAATACACAATCTCAACAAGGGAAAGTTGTGTACTATTACAAATAAGAAAAAATATTTTAGAAACAAGTATTAATTCAAACGATTAACTTAGTTTTAACAACAGAATAAATTAATGATTTGAAATAATCAATTGATATATTTTAGTAAGAGTCTAAAAGTTAATGGAGAGAACGAATGAGAAGAAAGTTTGATCTTGAACTTACACAATAAAAAACAAGAATGGAAAAAGTAATGTTTGCATTGTTAAATAATTGATTATATAATTTAATGTCTTTTTAAATATAACATTATATTATAGGTATCGAAATTATAATTATGAATAAGATTAGTTATTAGGAAATGGCAAATATGGAAAAATTGTGATCGCTACACATCAATTAGTGAATGAAAAAGTTTTAATAAAAATATTGGAAAAGAAGAATCTAAAATTAAATAGAGATTTATAAAATCTTGAAAATGAAATCCAAATACTCAGATAAGTTAAGCATTAGAATATAATTCAATTATATGAAGTAATATTAAATAAGTTAATTTAGATTTTGGAATCTACATAGAATATTTATATGGTTTTTGAATTTGGAGATGGAGATGACCTAAAACATAAATTAAATTCATGCTAAAAGTATCATTATTATAATTTATTGATTTTCAGAGACTTAATCATTGATATATTTGCAATAAATTGTAAAAGGAGTTTCTTATTTACATGAAAATAACATTGTTCATTCTAAATTGAGATTAGATAATATTGTTTTATAAAATGGAAAGCCTAAAATAATTGATTTTAGTGAAGCAATTAAAGTAGATAAATAAGCTGATAAAGATTATTCTACAATTAAATTATCTTATCAATCTCCAGAAATGATTAACTCTCTTTATTATGAATTTGATGGATAAAAATATGATATGTGGTGTTTAGGATTAATTCTATATTAAATGTTATAAGGTTAAATGCCTTTTGATAATATAACCAACAATAATGATTTAAAAAATAAAATTAAAAAATCATAATTTTAAATCTATCATCCAATCTCATAATAAGTTTGTTCATTATTAGAAGCAATGCTTAATGTTGATCCTAACAAAAGAATTACTTTAAAGGAGTTAATCAATTTTTTAGATACATAAAATTTAATTTTTGAAGATGAATATTTAAAAGTACCTGATGATATTCCAATACATTTAATAATAAAAGAATTGGAAGATAACTAAATAGAGACGGTTAATTTATTTCAATAATTAGAGTAAAATAAACATTGTGCATTAACTACTTGTTATTATTTAATTAAAAATAAGTTAATAAAAAGAGCAAAGCTTAACAGAATTAAAACGAATCTAATGAATTTTGATAATACTAAAATTAACTTTATGACAAAATTAAGAAATAGTTTATAATTCACAACTATGAAATCTAGAATATATTAAAATGGTGTTAGAGTTCATACAGAGAATAATAATAGGGCTGAAAGTTTTTCTTAACATTCATATAAATAAAGATCATTGAGTAAAACTAATAATAATAAAAGTCCTTTGATGAAATAATTTTAATAAACTTCAAAAATATCTCAAACTTAAAATTCGTTCTTTCCTTCATAGAATCAAATTAATAAAGGAAATATTAACAAATTTAATAATGGTAGCAATAAAAATCATAATTTTTAATAATTAGGTATTATATGTGATGGTTATTAAATTTATTAAGATAAATTGTAATAAAAATTAAAGAATCTCTTGTATTCTAATAATAATTACATAATCTAAGTAACAAATACAAAAAGAAGATCAGTGTCATAAAAAAATTGAAATATTATTTATGTTAAGATAATAACTAGAAATGAATTAATAAATTCATTTTTATTATTTAATTTACCTTTCTACTCTAATACGTGATACTTCTAAGTATTTAGGTTAAGCAAATTTTTTTCTGACAGCTTAAAGATTAGATTTATCAGATGATTGTAAAACAAGACACATTTCTTTAGCACAATATCTAAGTTCTTATTCATTGTAACCAGTCATTTTTTACATTTCTTCATTCCAAGATTGAGGAGCCTTCCTATGAAAATATTTATATGATACCTTATTTTATGAACGAGATAAATTGCTGCAGAAGAAAGAAATGATGGTTTGTAATTCATAAATTTGATATCAATAATAGAAAGTTCTAAAAGATACTAAGCTAAATATTAATTCTTTGTGTCTAACCCTGCTATTCTACCAAATCTTTAAAGAAAACAATAGCTAGATGGTTATGTTATTGAAAAGTCTAAAGTCTATAATATTTATCCTTCCATATCAAGAACATCCTATTTTGTATAAGCATTATCTGTTATATAAACAAAATCTTTCAAATCAGGTGGATATATTTCCTCATATTTACAAGCTATAAATAATGAGGCTACTCCTACTAATTAAAGTTATTATCTGGTTGTAGTTCTGAAATTTAAAAATCTGTCAATTAAATATGTAGTCACATATAAAGTTTCATCTCTTAATTTAAATTTTAGATGAACATCAATTAACCAATCTAATAAAATTGCTCTCATTCTTGCATTCAAATCAGGTTATTATTGTTCATTCATATAATTATTACTAACTAAGTATTTTTCTTCTTAAGTTAACAAATAAGAAAATATCTCTTAACTATAAACTGAAGTAAATTAAGGATCTTTAAGCATTTATTAATCAAAAGAACATAATTATTGAGTGTAATTTTCCACTTCCATTTTATTTTCTCTTTCTTCTTACCATAAATTTAGTTTCAAATATCTCGGTAAGACAGTAAGATGCTTTGGTTTATTTCTATCCGTGTTTTCCTTTTAAAATTCACCTGAAGAATTAACCAACTCTTTTCCGAAGAATCTATACTACTCGTGAATCATTTTAATTATACGTTAAAAATTATATTATTCGGTTAAAATTTATTATTTATCAATTATAATTATAAAATTTATATTACTATTGAACTTGCCAATTTGATATACATATTATAAATAATTTCTTAAATTATACAATCCCAAAAAATATATTACATATATTTGATTATAACAAATTAAACATGATGTAAATTTTATTTATTTTTTTGTTTCTTTCTTTATTAATTTGATCTTTAATATTGTCAATATTAATTTTCAATATTAAGCGATATAAATATTTAGAATATTGTAAAACTACTGATTTGGAGGTATTTTATTAAAAATAAATTGCATTTATTATAATAGTTTGCTTATCTCAGAATAGATGTCTAGATTTAAAAATACTACTAGGTGAAAATCTTAAATTTATCTATAACAGCATTAATATCTGGTTAATAATGAAGTATTTTAAATTTTGATTTTTATAATAAATTTAGGTGGATCTTATTTTTTTAATAAAAAAAAAGAAGTAATTGCTAAATTATAAACTAAGAAATAATTTTTTTACAATATATATAATTTTTATCATATTTAGAATAATTAAAAACAGCACTTTAATTTAATTGAGCTGATTATAAATTTATTTAATTGAAATGAAATATTTATATACAGTTAAAAAGATTAATAAAATTAATTCTAATCAACTCAGATTTATAAGTAATGACATATATTTAGAAATTAAATTAATGATTTATTAGATTATTTAATTTAAAGAGATTGATTTATACATAAGAGAAAGAATTGAATTTAAAATGTTTATATTATGATTTCAAAAAGGTGTATTGAATGATTTAAAATCATAAATTATAATGATAAAGTTTTCTTATTCGCTTTAACTTATCGAATTAAATAATTAATATCTTAAATAAAAAAATGAACGCCAAAGGTGCAGGTTTGACATACGTCAGTGAATACAAATCTGATGAATTCAGAACATTCAGAGGAGGTTTGAGACATTTACCTGAGAGAGCAGAGTATATGGCACATAATAGCAAGAATAATTTGTCTAATTATCATGACAAATTTAATTATGAAAGAGTAATTTATTATATTATAATAAAAGGGGTTCATTTAACACTCAAGATCATTATCTAATCAACATCATAATTTCCATTATATGTATGGAGGACCTAAAGAATACTTATTCAAAAGACTTTTCTATGGTGCATGGTATAGAAAGAATATTAGAAATTTCTGGTTCCCAGCTGTGTTTAGTTATGGACGTAAGCATCTTATTAAAAAATAGTTGGTTGTTTCTGCATGAGATTATATGATAATAATGCCCATGACTTCTTTTATTTCACAGATTGAGATAATTTCATAATAATACATAAATAGTATAAAACCAGAATTCATAATAATCTTTCTAAAAGCATTTTTTCAAGTAATAAATTATTTCTTAAAATGCTTTCTTCACTAAATCCTAATTACCTTCTAAACTTTTAATTCTGAGGAAGTATTTTTTCAATAAATGAAAATTATTCTGCTATAAATGGTGCTTTTTTCTCATACTCAGGCAATTTAACAATTATTTTATTTGTATATTTATTGTTTTATTTGATGTACTCACATAACATTTTTTTAGCTTTTTCCTTGTTCCATTTCTTAAAATTAGGTAGACAAACACGATTATCATCGTTAGCCAATTTGTTAATTCTTTGTTTACATTAAGATAAATTCATTTTTGATAAAGATGTCTACCTTGAATGATTAGATACAATCACATCTTTAATTTCTATAACTCTTTCAGTATTAATATATTCTTGACTCCTTAATTTAGTTGACTATAGATTTCTAAGGATCATTTTAGGACTTTTCTAAACAATATCAGGCAGTAGGGAACTGTCTGTTTTAGTTTGGGTGCCAATATTAAGCTTCAACTTTTATTGCAATGAATTCATTAATTTAATTAAAGTCAATACAAACTATTTATTTTTCAATCAAAATCTTCTTAATCTCCACTAAAATCATATTCTATTCTTTCATGATTAGCTAACTTTCCATCAATAAATAGAAATGTATCACTTTTTGTTTCCCAAGGATTTAAGAGCATTTAATCTTTCAAGTTAGGTCCTAATGCAGGTTAATCATACATAGATTCCCAAGTGTTAGTTGAATGTGGTATACAAAAGGGAAAACGAAATTCATATTCTTTGATAAGATTGTTTTTAAAATAAAATCTAGATATATTATTATATTCAATACCTATCTATAAGGAGCAAATTCTTTAATGGCTTATCAAAAGTCTTGAATATTTTAGTAGCTCCTAATATTTTAATATCAAAATATTAAGGTGTAAATTAATAACTCAGAACTTCTTATTATTAATTACCTTCATCATTATCAAAGTCAAATAATATAAAATTATCATCAGCATCTCTGAGTATAAATTTTATAAATTTTATTTCTTCTGATGGTTTGCATAAAAATTTATCACAAGGATTAGTAAATGTTCTCACTATTTCAGGAGTGATAACTTTTTACATATTAAATTAAATAGAGATGTTAATTTAATAATTTAAATTTAATTACAAAATGTTTAGAAAAACACGATAAATAGAAACTCATTCACTTCACTATTCCATTAGTTAAAGTGAAATTAAAAGATCTTCCTACTTTACAAATCTATCCCATAGATATAGATCTTAGTCAATTGATCTAAGCAATTAAAAAATAAAATAACCTATTTAGCAGACAAAATCAAAATCTAAACCTAAAATGCAAATCAATCCTGTTAAATTTTAGATCTTTAAGTCAAATAAACCACTAACAGAATTCAAAGAATTTAAATTACGAACAGCAGATAGATGTAAAAGTAGAGAAAAAGTTAGAATAAGAGAACAAAATAAAGAGAATAAAGAAAATATATTTATTTAATATAATAAAAAACTATGAAAATATGTTCAATCATCATACAAAATAAGAGAGGGCAAAATATATTTGTTGTCTCATCTAACGATTATTCTCATGAATTGTCTTTACAATATTCTAAGGATATTTATAATTATATTCTTAGTCAAATTAGTATTCATCAATTAATCATTTAGAGGCAGGAAAAAAAATTGATAGATCTATTGTTTTAGATTCAAATTATGTTTCTATTTGTAATGTAAATAAAGATGTAATTAATGTCAACTTAATTACTTTAGGCTATATTTTTGGTTATTGTATAACGTAATGAATTATTCTTGGGATATGAGGCAATTAAAAAGCTTTCTGAATTTTATGCTACCAATTATAAGTAAGAAATCACAACTAAAAAATATTAAGAAGTAAACTTCTATCTTACTCTTAGATGTTACTCTTACTAGAAGAATTTTTATATACTAAAGAATTCTTACCTCAAAAATTATAATTTAATTTATCAGTTAAAGTACCTGCCTCATCAAAATGCATTGCAGATTGTGATCATCTTTAAAAATTTTCATCACTATAAGCAACCATTGAAAAAAATCTTATTGCAAATATACCTTTAAAATATGCAAAAAAACAATAAATTATCGAAAAGGAAATAGATATAATTAATATATTTATAAAACCAATAAATAATGTAGAGGAATATTAATCAAGTTAAGAAGAAGCCTCATGGAAATAAAAATATAAAAAAAATCTATATGATTGTGCATTTAAAATGAAGAGCAAATAAGTTCATAAAGAGAATATCTTTTAAAAATATAAGCCATAAAAACCAAATATTTAGTATAAATAACACACCTAAAAGTAATCTTAATTAGTAAATCAATATAAAGGTATTAGCAGTTCTGATATTCAAATCATGAAACTTATATTTTAAGGATAAATGTAGAGAGCAGGAGTATAATAAGATAATACTAATTAATAAAGTAAACAATAATAATCAAAGCATTTATAGCAATAGTAAAGTAGATAAATCAATTTATTGGATTATGGAGAAAATTTCACTTCAATTGAGGCTCCTAAATAATAAGTTTAATAAGTATAAAGTTAAACTGATGAATAATTAAAAACTAATCAAATTTAAGTAAAACCAAAATAATAATAAAATGCAAATGATCTATTAGATTTAGATGAAAGACCAACAACAAATTAAATACAATCATAAATATAAACAAATTCTGGACCTGATTTATCATTTGTAAGTTTATCTCCAATTAAATAAAATGAACCATAGTTGAAAATGCTTGAGAAAATGATAATATCATAGAAAGATGGAAGATTAAAAGAACTTAAAATATATGGATAGATAGCTTTAGAGGGAGATTTTACTGATGATGATTAATCAAATTTATAACTTTTGGGTTAATATTGGTAAGATTAATATGGATGTTCAAGAAGGATAACACCAAATTCTTTAGGTTTATAATAATTCAATGAAAACAGTTATAAAATGATTGTAAAAAAGGCTAATTACAAGACTCCAAAAGGAATCCTTGATTATATAATTCCAGCAAAAGCATTTACCTAAGAAAGGATTCCAGTGATATTTTTATATAGATTGGAGTGTAAATAATAATTTGCGAGTTATTGTCTTTAATATAAGGTAAATGATTAATGGTAAGTACCATTATAAGATATTGTAATAGAAGTGAATTTAGAGAAAGATTTAGAATTTGATGATTTAAAAACAATGCCAGTAGCATAAGTTATTAATGATAAATAAATTACTTGGAAAGTAACTATATCTTATAAGATTAGGCTAAACAATTATTGTAATAATAGAAAGGAAAATTGATTTTGAATCTTACAGGTATTAAGAAATAAGGATCTTAATTTTTAAATCATATAAGAATAAGTTTTAAAGCTAATGTAATAGATAAATTTAAATATAGACATCTGTTATAGAAAATATGGATAGTATAATGTTTTATAATAGCTAAGAATACAAATGTTAAAAAAAGTTGATTGTGGAATACAAGGTATATCCTAATTCTTGATATTATTAAATATATAAATTAATTTTTTGAAAGATGAGCGAAGCATAAGCAGACCGTATCTTATCAATTGCAAATTAAGAGACAGTAAATAGATTATTTAGAGTATGCTATAAATAAATTACAGGTTTGAAATAAATTTGACTAATTAGGATAAAGACCTGTAGGTAAATTTTAAGATAGCGATCATTAAGCTGTTTTGAATTGTCATAGGAGAATGGTTGAAGTACTAAAAATTGTTGCTCCTGCAATTGTACCATTAAGAGAAGAATGATTTAATTATTCAAATTGTTATCATCAAAACCAGAATATTTAGAATATTTATAGATAAATAGCTATAAAATTCATTAATATATATGCTATTTTTAATATGAAATTCATCTTCTCATGCCCATAGGTGGTCTACCTGGTTATCCTTTGGGTTTCATTTTTGTATCTTAATCAGATTTAGGATTTTTAACAGTTTCATCAATAGATAAAATTGCACAAGCAGCCTATAAAATAAATAATAAAAATACTTCAGTAGCAGAACAAAGAGCATTCCTTTTGACCAAACTAGGTTCCCAAACAAAAGAAGAATGAGTATCACAAACTCCTGATTATCCATTAATATCAACTCCATACCATCTACCTTCATCTCCACCTTAAGCATGTCTTTATCTAAGTTTATTCATAATTTCAATAGAATTTAATCCCGCATTCTCAGCAATAGTTCTTGGAATTACTTCTAAAGCTTTGGCATAAGAATTAACAATATATTATGTTTTTCCTGTTACAGATCTAGCATAATGTCTTAAATATCTAGATAATTCTAATTCAATAGCTCCACCTCCAGCTACAATCTTGTTAGCTTTGAAACATCTTCTAACAATCATAATAGCATCATTCAAAGATCTTTCAGCTTCTTATATAAATTATTCTGCTCCTCCTCTTAATACTATTGTAGCTGTTCTAGACTTAAATATTATTTTAATCATTAAATACTTATGGACAATTTTTAAATAAGTTGTATCTTTCTGCTCCTACTTAAACTTCTTCAAATAAACCACAAGTTCCAAAAGTTTCTGGATTTAAACCATTCACTGTTGTCTAAACTTACCCTCCAGTAGCCTTATTTAATTAATAATATAATTACTTTTTAAACTCTAAGTAAATCTTCTTAAGGAACTCTTCCAGCACAAAAGATGTTTCTATCAGCAAAATATTATGTAGCTAAGTCTCCAATTGGAAGTTTAGATAATACAATTTAAGCACCTGCTTTTACTATAGTTTCTAATTTCTCATAAATTAATGCCCATTCAGCATCAACTATTTATTAATATTCTTCTGGTTTTTCAATTCTAATTTCTGCATTTTCTTTTTCACTTTTAAGTTCTAATTCTAAATTTAATAAACAAATCTTTGGATTTTCAAATCTTTTTGGTTATTATTCAAATCCAGCATATGAAAATGTTTTCTTAAATGCAACTCCATCAACTAAAAATGAATCAGTTACACTTCCTCCTGTTACATTCTTGATTCCTATTAAATCTCTATCTAAAATATTTGGGTCTAACTTTTCTACTGCTGATACAACTAATTCACTAAAGAATTATTTAGTATTGGCTAACTAATTAAAATTTATTATTATTATACTAATTTTGAGTTTAATGCTGTTTAAGCACATTTCAATAAAGTATTTCTCTTATCTTCTGGAGAATCTCGAGATATATTAATTGAAAATCCTTCTAATTTTTCTAGTGCTAATTCCAAAGCCTTTCTATATCCTTAAATCACTATTTATGGATGAATTCCTTCTTCTATAAAAGGCTTAGCTTCTTTTAATAATTCAGCAGCCAACAATGTTGTAGAGGTTGTACCATCACCAACTTCATCATCTTAGGATTTGGCAATATCTACCAATACTCTAGCAGCAGGATGAACAACTTCTAATAAATTTAGAATTGTTGCTCCATCATTAGAAATTGTCACTTTTGGACCTGTCTATATCATTTTATCCATTCCTCTTGGACCAAGAGTACTTTTCACTACATCAGCCACAGCTTATACAGCATTGATGTTAGACACTATTTAAGCTCTTCCTTAAGATGTGTCTGTGCCTTCTCTTAATAATAAGATGGTTGGTTGTAAGAATTGGGACATTTAATACACAATTTTATTTATTTAAATTTGAGGCATTTTCTTTTACAAACATTCATTTTCAAATATATTATTCAAAATACCATATATTTATATTTATATTTAAACTTTTACTATATAATACTAATACTCTAATCAAACTAATTCATTTTATCATTTTCACTTATTTTTATCAACTTTTATAACATTATATAAAATTTCATTTTATTAATGTAATATCATCTACCTAAAATTTCAGCTCTTTCATACATTCATAAATTTAATCTTATTGCTTTAGCAGGAGACACTATTAAAATTATCAATCTATAAAAAGAAAAAGAATAATAGGAAATTAAAACACAAAGGTTTCTTAGAATATTTTAATTGATATTCAATGAACAAGATAACAATCTATACTAATTCAATGATAATAAAACTATAGTCATATATAAATAAAAAGGGAGGAATTTTATATTAGATAAATAATTTTCATTAGAATATGATTTTTATCCTACTCTAGCTACTATAAGTCATGATAATTAAACTATCATACTTGCAGGAATGGATACACATAAAATTGTATTTTACAATCTAATCAATTAATGTCTTACAAAAATAGAGCTTCCTAATACTTTAATTTAGAATTATTGTTTATTATATAATAAAGAAAAACGTTGTCTATTAACACAAAATTGTTTGATAAATGTTGGAAATTAAAAAATTATCAAATAAGTCATAACTTAATTTTCAAAACTAAGAGGATGGAGTCAAACTGGTTACCTCTATTCAAAATAAATTTCTTAGAAAGTACATATGATTTCTTCATTTAAACAAAAGATCTTAAGGATCATTTCTGAAATTAGCATAAATCCTTCATAAGTTTTCTCATAAACAGGAAAATATTATTGTTTTTAAAATCGTTAGGAATAAATTGAACTCTTTGATATTTCAACAGGAATAAGTTATTTTTCTGAGATGAAATTATTGAATTGTTAAAATCTATAATTTCATGAAAATGACTAAACTATAACAACTATACTTAGTGGAAGATCCGTGTATATTTTGAATGTGAACTAAATAATTAATAATACTAAATAAATTTGATAAATATCATAATGAAAAATATAATGAGTATCAAAGAATTTAATTCAAAGGAAAGAAATATAATTTTTTGATGTATATATTAAAATTAGTTTCTTTAATAAATCATTATCATATGATTATAAAACAAATCTAAAAGTAATGCATTTGAGTTAATTCTTAATAATTGAATTTTAATGAAATTTAATTAAATGAGAGAAGTTGAATGCTTTAAGAAAATAAAATATTTCTTTGTATTATTTTTATTTTTATTAGCAAATCAATCGAAATCATCATCCTTTTAGTTTTTCTTCATATGCAATTTAACCATTGCTTTACCAATAGCTCCAATCCATGCTTCTTTTTCTAAATTATTATTTGACATTAGAAAAAATGTTGTTTCAGGTGTATCAATTTTCTAATGTAATTGATAATTATATATACAAATGTATTTTCTTTATTAGTTTCTTCCTAACATGATTTGATTGTACTTATAGTTGATAAAGGAATAATCTCTGTTGGATTAGTATGTTATTTTTCTACCTTGAATGTATATAAGGTTGTCGTTGTTAAAACAAACCATCTTCTAATATGGATAAATAATATAGAATACTTTCTCCAAGATTTAAATACACGAGATTCTTTTTCTAGCCAACCTTCTTTCATAATATTTTTGAGATCTTCAGCCATGTTGTTTTACATTAGATTAAATCTATACTTTATAAAATATAATATTTATGCTCCCTAAATATATGAAAATCAATATATATTTTTCAGGATGTTTCAAAATTATTGATATCATTTTCACCCACTTCTTATTAATCACTTTCTACATCATCAACTGAGTTTTTATCATTTTCAATATCGGTTGGAACATATAAACCATCTTGATCATAGAAATGTTCATGATAAATATCACCGGGATGCAAAACAAACCATCCAGCTGGTTAACCCTCTTTATCATAATAACAACCATTCTCATCTCTCCATCTAAACATTTTAATTATAATCATTACCCTCCATCTTCATCAAAAAAATACTATTATTCATTTACTAGAAATCCTATAACTTTATCATTTTCATCCTTTAATTCTATATATTCGCTAAATTTCTCAGGTTAATGTTTTGGTCCATCTTTTATTATTGGATTCTCAATAGGGTCAACTCTCAACCAATTTTTAGAGATTTCTTTATTTTGATGCATTTAAGAATTAATTTATGTAATAAATAACATAAATCCCCCTATATATATACATACATTCTAATTATTCTTATACAAATTAATAGAAAATTATTTTACTTAAATTTATTCAGAAATCATATCTAAATATTTGTTTCAACTACTTGTTACTTTTTTTCTAAATTAATATAATAACTAATTTTAAACCATAGAATTATACTATTATAAAGATATAAATATCTAAATCATTACTTCAATAAATAATAATTCATTTTATTAAATAAAATGATCAAATTACATTAGTTCTAATACTTAAATTGCATAGAAAACATGCAAAAATAAATAAAAAAAAAGAATTTTTTATTTTTTTGAGTTTTTTTGTAAATTTGTAAAATAATTAATTTGAAAAATAATAGATCATAAATAGATTAATAAAATTACATTAAGAATTTTAAAATTAAAATAATTAATAAAAAACTAATTCTTTAAAATAATCATAATTTAAATAAAGATTTTGAATAGTAAAAAAATCTATAAATATAACTCTTCCAAAGTAACTTTTAAAATTATTAGTTTTTTTTTAATACTCTTTCTTTATTATCTTTTTTTGAGAGCAAATAAGTTTAAAAAAATAGTACATAACTTAAATTAGATGATTTTTTTTTTATAATTATCTATTTTAGATGTAGAATAAGATATAAATGATGATGAATAATTTGAGGTATTTGAAATAATGAAATATATATTGATGAAGAAATAAATACAAACTCATTTTTTCCAAGGTTTAGTTTTAAATTATTTTTATACATAAGGATTTGCATTATATACTGCATTTGGTGAATGAGCTCTTTGCCTATTCCCTATAGGTTTAAATTATGCATTTGGTTGAATGGTTAAATCTTATTTTTAAGTTCCAGAGCTATTTTTTTTATAGGGAGTAACCTAAAGTCTAGGTGCTCTTAATTAATTTGGTGCTGTTCGCGGCCTTCTATCATTTTAGAGTACTCCTTAAGCAGAATCTTAATTGATATTTTGCTAGGATTTCAAAAAAAATTAATCACCTGAATCCATATAATTATTTGGTTACTTCTTAGGTTTTAAAGATTCTAAAATAGAGTTAAAGCTTACAAGTAGCTTCTGGTAACTATTACAATTTAGAACTATCACTTTTAATTACAACTCTCTTAATATCCTATGAAGAAGGTCTTTAATTAACTGGTTGAATAGGTTATAAAGGTTGAGTCTAAGACATTAAATTAGTAGTTTGATTAGTTTGACGAGGAGATTATTAAATTTATTGTTCATATTAAATTGTCTTTCCTGTAAGACAAGATTTAGTTTCAATAGCTTAAGATTATCTTTTTTTATTAAATACTATTTTTTCATAAGGTGGGATATACATAGTGATTTTTTCAGCAAAACGCAATCTAAATTATTTTATTAATTACTTTTAAGTTTTAGGTTTTTAGTCATGATCTTTAAATTCTGCTACTCCTTGAGGTTAAGCATTTAAATATGTATTTCTTAAAACCATTTCCTCAGGATCTCCTTAAGAGTATACTTCTTCCCAATTATAAGTTTTTGCTCCAAAACCATTCTTTTAGAATTTAGTTTCTATTGCCAAAAGTTGATTAAAAAAATTAGCTCTGATTTCTAAATCTGGTCTTCTGCTATGCATAAATTGTAAAGTTTTATAAAGTGTCCATCTATACTTTTTCATAAAATAAACACAAAGAACAGCAATAGATCTATTGTGTCCTCTTATTGAATGTACAATAACACTTTCTCCATTATTCAATGCATCATCAATAAATTTTATTACTTAATTTATCAGTTCCTCTTGTTAAAATATAACCTTATTATATCAAATATTACTTGAGTATCGTTATCAATCCATGGCAAAGACATATAAACTATACCTATTGATTCCCAATGATTTGGAATTTGTTTTTAAGCACAATTAACTATTCTGGAAACCTTATTAGTTACAATGAATTCTAAATCCTAAAATGTTCATTCAATTCTATACCTAAGAGGCAAATTAATCTCCTAAAAATAATCCATCTTTTATTTTGATAGCTCCGATGTAATCGTATTCCATTATATTGTTACTATTAATATTTATATAAGAAATTATTATTACAATAATTAATAAGAAATTTTATTTCAAATCAATTATTTCTTCTCTTCTTTCATTAAGTTAAATTTAACTCATTTTTAATTGAAATCTTTTTAAAATATCTTTATTTTATTGTATCTCTCTTTTTTTAAGAAAACTAACTAATTTTCTAATTACATACTTTACACTCTAATATACTCAAATTTTTGAAAAAATAACAAAAGAAACTATCAAAAGAATTTTCACATTAACTATTCATACAATTAGTATTATTGAACTTTTTTAAATTATTTTTATATAATTACCACTCTTTAATATATGAATTAAATTCTTTCTTACCATATTAATTAAAACTCAGAGATAATAAATAGAGATATTAAATAAACGAATTCTTATTTTTAGCTCTTTTAAAAAAATTAAAAAAAATTATACTTATTAAATGATAAAAATGATTATAGATTAAATTTATATAATTTTAACATAATTTTATCGATAACATTCTTCTCTTATATGGAGCATTAATATACATTGTTTTGTAATTGTGATTATTACATCTCTTTTTAGATGAGAAAATAATTTTTCAATTATAGTTTCTTTCTCAGATAATAAAATCGAATTTTA